CCATCCTTTCCATTTGCCTCAGAAATGCTACCGTGAGGACAGAAAATACTGCATTTTTTACCTCTGGTTCTGAACTTGCTCCTAGACAAGAACTGAGCTACATTCCCACCCCCCAGCTGGAAATCATCCGTCAGGAGAGAACAACTGGAGACCACAAATTAAGTAACCCTAAACTTGTGGAATATCCCCCCCCCAACATTTAGAAAACCCTTCAACTGCCATCAGAACAATGATACAACGCACTTGATTTATGATATATAGGAGAGCAGGCCAGCAGTAAAACAGCAAACCGTTTGTGACGGTACGACTTAATTAGAATCAGTCTCCTTGTTAATAATTCTTCATTCAGAAAAGTGATAAGCTTTCCTTAAGGAAAAAGAGCAAATGATTAATAAACCCAAGGGGGACGTAACGAGTTAGAAAATGAAGCGCTTCTGCGGACGCTTCGTTATCCCGAGGCCGCGGTGGGGCCCATCAATCAGCCCGGAGCGAGGCCCGCCAGCGTCGGGGCATCCTCGGAGAAATGGGCACAAAATTAAGTATAACGGGGTGGGGGAAGCCGAGCCCTGAGCTTAAAACCTGACTGGGTATTTCGTAAAAATCGGTTCAAAGGCCACTGCTTCTTCAGAATCAGTCTCACCGAGAGGTCCGGCAACAACGCCAACCCCCCCGGGGTGACCCAATTTATCATCACTTTTGGGAACAAAACAAAACCATGTTTGAGACGATAAACTACAAGGCAACAAAATCTGATTTCCATTTAGTTTTTTTCACCCCCGCCCCCCTTTTCAAAAGCTGGTAAAAGTTAAGAAAGCGTTTCTGCTAGCTGGACTTCTCTGGCGCGGGTTCAGCTCCTCCGAACTTTCCTCCCACCGAGATCCCAGCAAAGCGACCCAGGGCTACTCATTTATCCTTTCATTAACTTCCAGACATAAACCCTACACAGGACTTCACTAACACAAACTCTCAAGCCAGAAGAATTAACCACACTAATGTGAAAATTAGACTGAACTACTGGGGCTTACAACCAAAATAAAACCTGGAAGGGAACACTTTCATATGTGGGTAGACTGGCATTTTTTAACACAATTCTTATGACTTGCAATTTAACTAAAACAAATATTTGTTCAGCCATTCATTTGTAATAAAATGTACATTTACGAAATGCACGGCTATCTATATATATAACAGTATATGGTGGTGTCATTCGCATACTGCCTTTATGCCATTATCTTTGTCACCCCTATCATGGGTCTAAATGCACAGTGGAACATGTTACCTTCACAAAAAAGCTGTAGTTACAGGTTAAGAGTGAGGGGAAATGTGTGGGGGGTGTAAGATCTAAGAGACGCCGAAAGCCGCATATGTAGAAAACAGGTCTGTGTGAAAGTGCCCCGGCGCTGCGGTCTCTCCAGCCCGTAACTTGTTGAAAATGTCAAACGAGCGGTTTTTACCTGGTTTAAATCTTCGTCGTTCAGTAAGTGCGACTCTCTGGGTTTAAAGCAGTTCTGGCATTTACTTTTGTTAAAAATGTTGGCCTGGAACTTCCGACACGGGTTGTCTTTGGAAGACATTGTACCGTGATTGACTGTCCTTTTCGGGAGCCGACAGTCCGCGGACGGCAGTTCCGAGTCGCTCTCCTTTTAAAAAATGTTGCTTCCCCCCCCCCTTTTTCGACTGCGCAGATTCTTCCACCTCTCGGCTGTTCCCCCGGGACTGCGGTGGCCAGCGTTAAATCAGCCAACTATCCCTGGATCCCAGGTGTGTGTAGAGCCGATCACGGTGCCTGCCAAATATCCCGGGGAGGAAAAAAACTTGCGACAGGCAAAAAAAAAAGGAAAAAATTATTTAAACTATCGGTAAATCCTTGACAAATTACAAGACGATTTAGTCAAAACCATGATTACCTCCGTGTTGCCATTATTAGCCAGCTAGCTACCTAGATGAGTGAAAGCGCCCCACCGTTATCATCCCTGCCCGGCCGGTAGTTAGCGAGTTAGGGGTAGGTAGGGTTAGCGACTGTTTGGCTAACTTTTGGACTCGCTCCTATATTAAGTCAATGTCGGCGTATAAAAAAAACGCCTACGCCGCTGCGGTAGAAACTGCTCTGCATCGGCGTGCCCCCCGCTGTCCGATCGAGCTAAGAAGCGGACGCAGGTGACTCTTCGGCCGGTCCCTAACGGTGACAGTCACGAGCCCCTTCGGGGACACTGCATTAACACGCCACCCGCACTCATCTGTCACGCTCACACTAGCTGCTCGTCCGAATGCGCAGCATCAACACGTCTTCGCAGACCCTGCTGCTCCCTGTACCTGCGTGCTTTAAAACGAATTTAAAAAAAATACGCTGTCTTTTATATTCCCCTGCTGTCTGTTTCGCAACCTAGCATAGATAACATCATTTAAATAATGAAGATATCCATCCTTTGATTATTGCATTTTGACTTGCAGTTTGTCTGTGACGTGGTCTCCTTAGACAGACAGCCGGCCAGCTACCCAATACCCCATGGTTATGACTGCTCGAAAGCGTCGCACTCTCTGGCAGCAAGAAAGCAACCCGCACTCATACGCACCAAACTGGTAGCAAAAAAACAACCCCACTGGGAACCAGTTTTTTTTTTCGGGGGGGAGGGGGTTAAAAATCGAGAAGGCGTTGATTGTCAGTCTTCTTAACCAATAAGAAGAAGCGACATATTTTCTAACTATGCAGCACGGACAGTGTCTACCAATAGAAAAACCGAATACGTAGGGTGGAGCGTCAAATGCCATATATGGTGTACAGTCCAAGGTCTCGATTACGTGCAGTATTCACGAGTGACGGAGGAGACCACCCTCCTACTGAGAATGCAGCAACTGTTTCTTTGCCTCCTGTAATCTAAGTCAAGTTAAACTTAATGTTGAGATTGACAGATATCATGAGCTACATAAACATATGCGCAACACATGTGCCTTCTAGTTAATGGTCAGCTAGACTTTCACTCACGTTCCTGCAGCGGTGTTTAAATCAAGCATTACATAATACGGATTTTTTTTAGATTTTGCATGCATAAATCACACAGTCTAATCTAACGTATAGCCTACCTTTTTTGCAATTACGACAAAATACATTCTGTTAGGCTACATGTACTTGAATGAATAAAATACGGAGGTTAGGCAGATGTTAACATATGTACTGACAGCCAACAACTAACTGTTTGTTTTTTAAAATACTGCATCGCATTCGCTGGAGATAAGCATTTATCTATGACATATTGTAATGCTGAACTATACGAAAAAAGATATAAACTCTTGTTATGTAGATTAAAAATAACAAGACTTTTTAAAAAAAAAGGTCCCATCAAAAAATCCCATCAAGTAGCATAAACGCCGAAGATGATGTTGACAGCAATGACACTCTTAGAAAGTATGCCGGTGGCAAAGACTATGTGCAACTCTGCTCTTTAGAATGGACGCATACTGTGTGTCAAATGGGCTCCTGAATAAACAGCATAATATTTACGTATCGCAAAGATCGGTAAGCATATCCTGCATGATTGTTATGCTTTTCTTATCTGCAAACATATTTTTCAACCTAATTATCTAAAAAGGCGCTGTACAGCATATGGTTGTTTACTACCGTCGTTATAATCATTATGAAAGATATTACTAGTTATTGACTTAGATTAATATTATCAATAAATAAACTGAAAAGACTTAATTTCGAAACTCAATAATTATGAAATACGTAGATAGCCTAATATATCCATATCTTTTATTCAAAAATTAAAGGTAATACATGTATTGAAGATAAAATTAACATAAAATAAAATGTGTATTTATATTTATTGTCTAACAAAAGTTATGTAGATAGATAAAGTCTTGCATTTAAAATCTCGCTGTCACGCTCTAAACACAAGGGGGTTGTTCCACGAAGCAGGATTTCTCTGGTAGTCATGATTGTCCAATAAGACTTTAGGTATGGAGCATTCCTATTGGACAATCATGGCATCTAGTTTAAGTTAACTCAGCCAACTGAGAAATCCTACGTGGAACACCCCCCCAGAAATGACATCAGAAAGATTTCTAAATCTATACACTGGTACAACATATATAAATAAGTAATAGAAGCTAATTACGTTCTGCGTTTTTTGAGAAGAGATTTATAAATGAGGTGGCGACCCCTAGGGGAGAGTGTAGATATGGATTGCAACAGGGACGAGAGCATATGCTCACTGAGAGGTAGTACATGCGGTACCACTTTGTGTTTTATATTGTTAACATATTCCAGCATCTAAATAATTAATAACATTGATTGTATGTCAGCGCTTTTATATATCTATTTAATCGAAAGTGTCACCAAATTGTTTGCATAGGCCTACTACAATAGCCCATTCGGGGAAGTGATGTTGCCTGGAAACATGGACGCGGTTACCAAAGGCAACTGTCATCGATGTTTGTAGTGTAGTTTTCAACAGCTTTAAAAAAATACTCTCCAAACCTAGAACATGGGCGAAAAAATGCAATAAAGTGAAGATTAAAATGGACTTATCAATATAAAAATAGTTGTTGTTTGACGGTTAATACGTTAATGGTTTAAAAGAAGTCAACACAAACATCTATTTAAATGTTTACTTAGCTGCCTAACTTTTTCTGTTACTTATTACAGTCTGTAGGTTTCACAATATACAAAACCGTATGCTTTGGGCAGTTCAGTGTTACAGATTATAAACGGGCGGGCTGATGGTGAGCAAAAAAGAAAGTGAACTTTCCAAGGTTTAAGAAAATAACAAAACTTAAAAAGAGATAAAAGACAGATAAACTTCACTGTACAAACAACTAGGCCTACATGAAATAACCAATGAGTTAAAGTTATGACGCATGCTATTAGCAAACTGGAACGCCAAGTTCCTGCGGACAAAAGGGCGTTTTTTTATAACATTGCAAGCGTCGCCGTTACTAAGACGCATTGAACTGCTGCCGTCTATAATTACCCACTTCTGAGGCTGTCATTTCTTATTAGCGCCTGCTGTACTGTAAACTGCACAGTTCCTCTTATTTCCTACCCTCTGTAAAGCACAACAGTTTTACTGTATTTAGATATAGTTTCTTTTTATTGTAGATCTCCCGAGCACCCAATATTTAGGTTCTTCAAATGGATCGCTTAAAACAGGTATGCTTCCGAGATTTCCACTTTGCTAATATTTCTAAATTGTTTTGTGAACCTTGATAGATTTAAAGTATTGTCGATGTGACCGCAGATATGACCGAATAATCTCCATGTTTACTTGCAGCTGGAAGATGACTCAATACATAATATGAGCCAGACAAGGGGACTGCCTGGTTTGCCCCCTTTGCCTCAAACAGATACAGCGGGGCCTTCTGAACTCTATAAGGTGAAATCCGCTTATTTACCTCGCTAACATGATCTTATGATCTTAAATACGTTAATTTGGGCTTTAGTTGTATTTTTAGGAAGTTACATGTTTTGTTTAGCGGGTGTTTGATGTTTGGGATCCCATATGGGACCACAACTGAAAGCAGCCCCTTCTCTTGTTCCCTTATAGATTGTTCTCCGGCACAGTAAGTACCCACCCATCCTTCAGGACACATGCGGGACCCTGGCGGTGCCCTACAAAGAGCAGCGCTACCACCGCACTCCTAGCGAGTCCATTGGGAATAACTACAGCCCAGCTGCTAGATGCCTAAAAATCCGTCACCTGCATCGAAAGTCGCGGGTACCTGCTGAAGACCCGTCACCCGTATCCCGTATCCTTATCAGCTCAGTACTGTTTATAAAGTGACTGTGCTGCTGAAATCCTTTGTATATGAAAACTTTTAGATTTAAGAGCAGCTTTGTTGTGGTCCATGTGTGAATTTGCGCCTTACAACAGACTACTGGTGGTTAGTTCAGGTCCACAGAGTAAAAATCCAGGCCAAGATTTTGTTTCAGCCAACCAGTTGAATACTCTGTGACTGTGACTCTTTATGCTCAACTTTTTGGTTGAAACAAAACCTTGGACTGGATTTTTACTCTGTGGACCTGAACTATCCACCTCTGCGAGGTACCATCTCCTTCTTGACTTGTGCTTTTTAGGATTAGCAATTATGGATGATGAATGGGGGGACAGTTTTCCACAACAGTTGGATACATTCGTGCCATAATCTAGGTAAAAGATTGAGAATAATAAGTAAATAGGTCTCTCCTTAGCCCAGTCGCTAGTAACCAGAGTGGTGTCTCCTGTTCTGAAAAAGGGAAACCTCATGCCAAAGATCAGGTAAACTACCTTTCAGGAATATTCTAGAAATATTACAGGACAGGCCTATTTGAAAGTTAATGAATAAAGTGAGTGAAAATGTAACACAATAAAAGGCATGTGTCACTGGAATGTATTTATTTATGCACCGCCCAGTGGAAGCACACAAAAGCCATTAGAGAACCTCGTAAAGCCGTGTTTCTCGAACCAGTCCTCACGGACCCCTAAACGGTCCATGTCTTTGCTCTCTCCCAACTCCCAGGGAACTGGGAGAGAGCGAAAACATGGACCGTTTAGGGGTCCCTGAGGACTGGTTTGAAAAACACTGTCCTAATCTTGCATTTTGAATTCATTTGGTCTACAGGAATCCAGTTTTTCTATCTTCACACTCAGCTGGGATTGCAATGGCTTCCAGTAGCCGCCCCATGACACCCATTCAGCAGCTGGATATTATTCGAAGCCAGGAGATGCGTCTGTCAAGAGCAGGGGAAGAGCCATCGGACAGGGACCTGGAAGTACTGAAAGTGGACCATAAGAGCGTAACAAACATGCTAGTATTTAAGATCTGTTCAGTTGTTTAATTTGCTTCTCATTTGTTACAGAGATACATGTATTACATCACGCATGGAATTAAGGACCACATGCTGGTTGGCCAGCCTCCGCAGCAGGTTGAGAATATTCTGGAACTGCTCCCTGACTGTGCCCAAAACAGTGAAGACCTTCAGAAGCTACAGTCACAGCTTTTAGAGGAAGTGCAGAAAAGCTACCGTTTTAGTTTAAGGAAAAGCATCGGTGAGACACCTTAACTGGATCATAATTGACTGTAATGACAGTTAAATTTTTTAAAGTCAATTCAGGTTGCTGTCATTGTAGATTTTCTTGATTTCACTTTATGCTTTCTGAAATGTTTATATTTTAATGTTTTTAAGTGGTAAATCTGTTTTCATTACGATCGAAGGCGAAGGCCTTTTGTTCATGAAGTCTGTTTTCTCCGTCCCGGCTTTAGTGGATTACATCTTGAAAGATCCACTGGAAAGGAAGCGCTTGTTCATCCCCAGGACCCCGCGGCCGTTCCCAGTGAGGGTGATCCGTGGGCCGGTTCCCTGGAGCAGAGCTTACAGGGAGGCTCACAGCTGGCAGGAGCAGCACCTCTTCACTGTCAACCCAATGATGCTGCATCTGCAGGAGCTCTGGATGGGCAGGTGAGAGTCCCAGCATCTACTGCCGCACGTGTTGGTTTGGGGATGGGTACTTTTTACACTGACCCCGGACTTTCAGTTTAAAGGTAAGTTGTTACTTAGTTGACTTAGTGATTTGCAGCTATTTCTGCATTTAAGGTTTAATTTGTTTGTTTGTTTGTTTTTGCTTATATTCTATAAATATATTTATGCTTAAATGACAATATGGTCTGAATTTTGGAATAAAATTTCAAGGTGCCTAAGAATCAGCTTTATAAAAGGATAAAGGTAGAACTTCTTCAAGTAATATTTAAAACGGTGCATATTATGCCAATATGTAACAAATAAAAATGAGATTTTATTTATTCTCATGTTTTATATCTCATATGTTTATGTTTATCACTGCTGTTGAGAATTACTGCTGTTTTTAAGTCTTGTAGCTAAATGCCCCTACATACTGTAACGGTTTATTTCTGAAAGTTCACAATAGGTAGTGAGTCTGAGCTTCTGTTTTGCTCTGTACAGTTTTGCTTCTCTAAGGTTTGTAAGGTTGGAGGACCTTCTTTCTGCCAACCTCCCACTGCTCCCTGAAGACTTTGCTACTGAGCTCCGTAGACAGAGCCAAACAGCCAGGGACGCCCTGCTCAGCACGTGAGCGACAGCGTCACTCCTCAGCTAATGCAGTCAGATCATTTCATCCCACGTTGGCATGATTGTGTTTGACACATGTGTTGCATGATGGGACGTCGTTTCTATTAAGCAGATTCACATCTGTGGTTATAAAATTTACAAGCATGTATTTTTTAATGCGAAGATCTGGATGTCATCCCCCATACAGATGGCTGCCCAGATGTGCCTCTCTCTTTATCACTCATAAAGACTGCTGGCTCACGCTGGTGCCCCCTAGTGAACTGGAGGCCCCAGGTTCCGCCCAGGAGTTCTTCTCCTGCGCAGCTGCCCTCATGTCTCTGCAGCTGCGCAGCCTGGTCATCGCCTCCTTGCAGGAGCTGCTGGACTTCTTCTTGCTGCACCAGGCACGTCTGTATGCTTTCTTATAACTGCTTTTGATTGTTCATAGCCGCCCCTCCCACCAAGCGTATGAGAGGAGAGATGGCACTCTGTCCTTACAGTATTTACCCAAACATCTGCGCATTCCAGTGTCTTCTTAATGCATAATGTGAGAGCCACACTGAGACGCTCCCCCCGGCCAGCACTGTAGCACCGACTGACGCGCGTCACTGATGTTGCCTGCCAGGGGGGGAATGACTTCGGCAAGGACTGCGATCATCTGAGCCTCACGCGGCCGCAGCTGCTCACCATACATGTAAAGGTTGAGGAGCCTCACATTGTGTTCCAGCCCTGCTTGCAAGACTATTGGGAGATGATTCACACGGGCTTCATGGAGGTCATCAGGAGCGCAGAGGGTCTGTCCAGGGTACTGTGCCTGCTCACTCCATCACTGCACAGCCTAGTCTTTCAGTCTGGAAAAAGGTTTCAGCTGATATTTAGGTATTAGCTTGTTACCAAGTTGTAAATAAGTAAACTACAATTAATACAATTATTATTGTTCCTATCCACTTAAGGCGCATCAAGCTTTTTCATCAATGCCTTTTCCGCGTTTTGATGGTATCTTATTGTTATTTATTTTTGAAAACTGATTCTATTTTTATTTATTTATTGTGTATGCTTATTTTTATTCCTTTCTTTTAAATGTCTGTAAAGCATCTTGTAACCCTGTGGTTAAAACAGTGCTATATTGATTGATTGATTGTGTGATATAACTTTCTAAAAGCTATTGAATCAGTTGTATATGAAGTTTAGAATTCTTTATTTCACCTTTAATCTGGACACTTATCCCCACTCAAGCAGTTGTTATGAATATATGGATTAGCAGAGGGGTCTGTGTTGTGATGCTTTGCACACAGGTGGAATGTGAGCTGTTTCCCGAGATCCAGACACCTGACATGACTCTCCGCACAGTCAGGCCAGATGAGCTGCTGGTCACTGAGCTGGTGAACAGAACCATGGAGGTCTTCCAGAAGAACATAGAAGGACCCAAACGGTACTGCAAGAGCTTCCATGACGTATTACAGCTAGAACTCTTCACTACAACAATGTCACTGTGCCTATATAGATCTCAGCGATATCACTTCAGGTCTGTGACTAACTAGTCACTCAGCCTTCTAATCTTTGAGTGTATATGTTACGCTGATCCAGGGCATATATAGAGAGCGCTTTAGAGAATGTTGTATATCTCCTGAAATCACATAATACTTTACTACCAGTCTTATTACCTTTCAATCGGCAGGTATTTGAATGTTTACGACAAATTCAGCAGTCTACTTAACAGCAGTGCTAATCAAGACGTCGATTTCTTCCTTAAAGACAAGCATTCTCTTGAAGTTTTCTCTCAGGTATGCTTTCTGACCCAGGAGGATTACAACCTGAAAGAACAGAACATCATTTAATTATCTTAATGTAATTCTGAACTACAGCAGTGCGTTGTAAATTGTGGGTAAATTCTCTGGGTCACAGAAAATTAAAAGCATTGAGCAGCTGTGTGAAGAAATCACCGGTCTGCGCAGCACTATCCCCCTGGCTGCGTTCAGCCTGGATGCCTCGGGCGTTAATAAGGAACTTTGCAGTCGTGCTGAGAGGCTGAAAGAGAGGCTGGTCATGTTCAAAGTGGAGGAGAACAGAGCGTTCAACAAATGGTAAGGGCCTCCCTCCATTCTGCTGTACCTGTAGCATTAGTGCAATAAGTGTAATTTCTCACAATATAACCCAGAATAGGTTGAATTTAATTAATTAGCTTTTATCCAAAGCCACAGACAATTAAGAAAGCAGGGTCTGCTAGCCCCTGGAGTAATTGGGATTAAGGGCCTTGCTCTAGAGCTCATTGGTGAAATCACTCTGCCAGACATGGGATTTGAACCAATCACCTTCTGATGAGGGGCACACATTCCTAACTCATAGAGCCATATGCAGACCCCCATTATATACACACTCTATTTGATCAATGCCATATATACTACTGTTCAAAAGATTGGGGTTTCCCATGAAAACAGAGATGAAATGAGATTGAATAGGAAGTATAGCTAAATAATAGGAGTGTAACGGTACATGTATTTGTACTGAAAATTTTCAGTATGGGTCTTTAGGTTCGGTACACATATATAGAGAACGAATGCAGCGAATGCAGAACCATTGCGTGTCTGAATGTTTCCCTGAGCAACATTCGGAAAGGGGTGGATGAAGCCGCGCTGCTACGCATGCGTGCAAACGTCCCAGTGTCAACCTTGCCATAAGACGTCAGACTTCAGCACTAGACTTCAATGACAGACCTAGGGAAACATACTATGATATGGACTTAAATACACCGGACTTAATGGAAATAACAACAAACAACTGGTAAACGCGGGGATTCCACACGTGGTAATGAGGGGGCGTGGCACACAGGAGGATTGGATGAGCAGGGCATGACAGAAAAAAAGAAGCAATTTATGTTTTATTTCTTTTTTCTCCACTATACTGAAATCTTACCGAACCGTGACTTCTACACCTACTGTAGGAACATACCGAACCGTAATTTTTGTGCACCATTACACCCCTACTAAATAAATAGGAAATAGTCATTGACAAAGTTAGAAATAATCATTTTTTAAATTTTAGTATAATAATTGTGTTTTTTCAAACTGCTTTCATCAGAGTCCTCCATCTGCAGCAATCACACCCTTGTAGACCTTAGGTATTCTAGATGTCAGTTTGTTGAGTGAAATTCAGGAGGACTACCTGAGCGAAGCTCTTATAAAAATAAAGTGCAAACTAAAAATAAAAAATATACGTGCAAAAACTAAGAATATAAACTGTACTGTACATACAAGACTTAAGCACATTATGCCTACATATGCTGCTTTGCAAGCCAATTTCAAGATGGCGGAGCATGTACATGCGGCGGCTCAGCACTCCCCGAATTTGTAGTAGCCGCTAAATCACTGCATCTTTATAGACCTCGCATTCCATGGACTCAGCACTTCCATATTACAGTATGAGCATGCATAATCAATCTTCTTTTTTAATTGCATAAGTATAATGTTCAGCATTGATGTAAACAGTTTAATGCTAAGGCTGTTTTTATCATTGCATTTAATGTAGTAATGTAGTGTTTTTGCTTGTGTTCGAATGTGCTATATCTATGCTCCTGCATCAGCTGTCTGCTCAGTCTCATCTACCACTGCTGGCACATGTATGTTGCAGTATCTGCCGACGCTATGAGGAAATAGCTGAGATTATTAGCGGGGTCCCAAGTAACACGGAGGAGCTGGTGACCCTGGACCAGTACCTGAAGCGCACCACCGAAGTAACTGTCCATCAGCTGAGGGACGAAATCAGTGAAGCGGTTAAACGGCTCCATTTTCTGCTGGACTTTGCCACCTTCTCTAGTATGTGTGACGGAAATCAACAGGATTGCCGACTCTCACATATCAGGCGTGACACTACCGCTTTCAGACTCTCACATTTACACAACAAATCTATCCATTATAAACCTAAAATTAGCTCCATCAAAAGTGTTGGGGTAGTTTTTAAACCCCACAGAATACAGTCATGGCCAAAAGTTTTAAGAATCACACAAGTATTGGTTTTCACAGAGTTCACAAAGCTGCTTCCGTGTTTGTAGATGTTTTTGTCAGATGTTTCTGTGGTTTACTGAAGTATAACTACAAGCATTTGACAAGCGTCAAAGGCTTTTATTGACAATTACATTAACTTTGTGCAAAGAGTCAATATTTGCAGTGTTGACCCTTCTTTTTCCTCTGCAATTCGCTCTGGCCTGCTGTCAATCAATTTCTGGGCCAAGTCCTGACTGACGGCAGCCCATTCTTGCATAATCAATGCTTGGAATTGGTCAGAATTTGTGGGATTTTGTTTGTCCACCCACCTCTTGAGGATTGACCACAAGTTCTCAATGGGATTAAGATCTGGGAAGTTTCCTGACCATGGACGCAAAATGTTGATGTTTTGTTCCCCAAGCCACTTAGTTGTCACTTTTGCCTTATGGCACGGTGCTCCATCCTCATGGAAAAGGCATTGTTCATCACCAAACTGTTCTTGGATATTTGGGAGAAGTTGTTTTGGTACCATTCTTTATTCATGGCTGTGTTCTTAGGCAAAATTGTGAGTGAGCATCCCCACACATGAATGGTCTCAGGATGCTTTACTGTTGGCATGACACAGGACTGATGGTAGCACTCACCTTTTCTTCTCCGGACAATCTTTTTTCCGGATGCCCCAAACAATCGGAAAGGGGATTCATCAGAGAAAATGACTTTACCCCAGTCCTCAGCAGTCCAATCCCTGTACCTTTTGCAGAATATCAGTCTGTCCCTGCCCTTCTTGACACCAGGCCATCCTCTAAAAGTCTTTGCCTCACTGTGTGAAGCTGAATCAACTTTAGGAGACAGACTTGGCGCTTGCTGGACTTTATTGGGCTCCCTGATTTGGGTTGATTTGATTTAGGTACAATCTTTCTAGCAGCAATATCCTTGCCTATGAAGCCCTTTTTGTGCAAAGCAATGATCACTGCCGGTGTTTCCTTGCAGGTAACCATGTTAACAGAGGAAGAACAATGATTTCAAGCACCACCCTCCTTTTAAGGCATCCAGACTGCTATTCTAACTCAGTCAACATTACAGAGTGACCTCCAGCCTTGTCCTCGTCAACACTCTCACCTGTGTTAACGAGAGAATCACTGAAATGATGTCAGCAGGTCCTTTTGTGGCAGGGCTGAAATGCAGTGGAAATGGGTTTTTTGGGATTAAGTTCATTTTCATGGCAAAGAGGGACTTCACAATTAATTGCAATTCATCTGATTACTCTTCATATGCAAATTGCCAAAAATGAGGCAGCAGACTTTGGGAAAATTAATATTTGTGTCATTCTCAAAACTTTTGGCCACGGCTGTATTTACAAGGTATTAAAACTGTAACATAAACGTAAGCACATGTGCATGTGTGTGCAGAATTGTCTCAAATTGAAAATCTCATGCCAGCCACCTGACCAAAGTTGGAAATCCTGAATCAAATGCATCTGGATCTGTCCTTTGAGGGCTCCTGCATCTTCCTAAATCTGACACAGAGACAGTAATGCATCGTGGACCTGAGCTATTACGTCTTTCTCTCCAGATGAGGACTTGAAGCTGAACAGCAGCCTGTTCAGATGGCCAGAGAAGATCCTCCCCGTGTTTGAACTTAACAAAAGCCGCCTGGCCACATGTAGGGATCGCACTGAAGATGTCATCCTTACCAGGTAATTATGCCGCTTCACAGACTGGATAAGTTGCCTGTCTGGGAATCGCTTGCATTGTTGCACAGGAATAAAACAGGCACATGAAGTTATGAACTGTATCAAACTGGCTTTCCCTTTTCTCAGGATCTCCAAGTTTGTTCAGAAGCTACAGTCTATCAGCAAAGATGTTGAAGCATTCAAAAGGAAGGAGCTAATGAGCCTTGAAGAGATGAAGCATAATGTGGAGAAACTGAGTGAAGTAGCAGCCTTTCTTGATGCTGCAGTGGCGGAGCTCGAGGTCAAGAGTGATACTATCCTTCTGACTCCAGAAGTTTGTGCAACACTGATTGAGATCAAGCTGAAAATGTTTTTCATGTGTTCCTTCAGGACATAAATAAGGAGGAGAATCTCTTGGGAAAAGAACAGACCCAATGCCTTGATCTGCAGAGTCTTCTAGCCAACAAGCAACCCTATGACCACCTCTGGACCACTGCCCTTAACTTCCAAAACAAATCGGAGTTTTGGATGAATGGTAAACAAATCTAAATGCATCCTGAGCATTTTGGTTCATTTATAATTTTAAGCAACTAAGGAATACCACAATGATTCTGACCATGTCAAAGCTATACAATATTCTCAGGGTAACGGATGTAGGATAGCTTTGTGAAGAATTAGGAGGCAATATGGAGAATCTGACTGGTTCCTTATTGGTAAAGGAGTTAGACAACGATTCTGTCATTGTTTCTATTGAACTTTAATGCAGAATATAGATTGGAGGTATAGACAGTATAGACTCTAGACTGGTGAAAGAAACATTTCCATTTCAATACGGTGTAAAGTCAAGGAACAGCTGGGAGTGAAAAGAAAATAAAGTGTAAAACCACAGGAATTGCATGTAACTTTAGCGGACATGGTGAAGACATGAAGGTTATAAACAGCCTTTGTCTCCAAGGAACAATGATCAACAACAAAGGATGAAGCATTTAGTTTCATGAAGTATGTCACAGAGCGGTGATGAAGGACCTAGGAAAACATGTTCAAAAGTTGTGCTGTATCTCTAAGAACAACATTTTCTGTCACTGGAAAATGAAGCGGCACGACAGGAGGGATACTGAGGCCTTTGAAGTGGTTATTTCATTACATCAAGCCTGAACTTTCACGCAGATGACCAGACTGAATTTTTCTTATTTTGCCAACATTATAAGAAGAGTCTCCTAATTGCTTGGAAAAGCTGAAGGTAAAAGAGGAAGAGAGTAAGCTGCAAAATAATGGATGGACTCAATCACCACAACAATGGACATTGGATGAGAAGGCATGAAGACTAATTGTCCTCCCCGTGTCTCCATGGGGTTTCCTCCGGGTGCTCTGGTTTACATTCTGAGGTTAACTGGAGTTACCTGCCTGCCTGTAGGTGTGCGTGTGTGAGTGAATGGTGTGTTAGCATGCTCTGCAGTGGGTTGTTTCCTGCCGTGTGCCCATAGGCTCCGGGTCCCCCGCGACCCTGAATAGGACGAGCGGTTTTAGAAAATGGATGGATGGATAATCTCCGTAATCTTAGACTTAATTAATTAAGGTACAAGTAGACTGTGTACCTGCTCCTGTCTCGATGGAGGTGGAGAAGCCTTCGGTTCTGCACCAGCAGGCTGAGGAACAGCATCTTCCCCACAGCTGCCTCCATGCTGAACTCCCAGCAGAACCACAAATCTTCAGTCAAACCTGCTCATAACATGCACTGCACCCCCACTTCATACCTGGATGTGCTGTCGGTAACCACAGCATTGTATTCCTTGGGGGATTCAAATCTTATCTATTTCTGATTTCTGATTCTAGCACTGTTGCACAGTTTGCACTTTCAGATTAGATGGCAAACTTCATTGTCTGAGTACTAATCTGTTCTACCTAATCTAAATAATCTTTAGCTAGCTTTAATTAGAAATTGGTTTCCCACCTTCGAATCCCAACCAGGTCCTTTCGTATACTTGAACGCCGAGGAGATCTCTGAGGAGCTGGGCAACATGTGGCGAACCATGTACAAGCTGACCAAAAGTTTTGCGGACCTGCCTGGCCCCCGACGAGTTGCAGACAGCTTCAGGATCAAGATTGAAAAGTTCAAACAGCACCTCCCAATACTTACCACCATCTGCAATCCTGGCATCAAAGGCCGACACTGGGAAAAGGTCAGTGCATACAGGATCTATCACTTGTTTCTACGGCTTGTTTCATTTTGAAACTTGTGGAGTTTCCTGAATTACTTGAATAATCTGTGCTGATTTCCGTATTCAGATCAGTGCCATTGCGGGCTACACTGTGCAGCCTGATGAGGACACGTCGCTGCTGAACATGGTGGAGCTGGGCCTGTCCAAATTTGCTGACAAGTATGTCTGATGCTTCATACTGGATTTTCTCATCATCATAAGCAATGCACAACAGCACCAAAACATAACTAAGGCCACTGGTAAAATACACTGGTCACATTAATCATTTGGTGGGTGAGGAAGGTGAGGAATATTATAAATATACCAGTGGATTATTATTGTTGAGGCATGTTTGTTTTAGTATTTAGTATTTACACTCACCTAAAGGATTATTAGGAACACCTGTTCAATTTCTCATTAATGCAATTATCTAATCAACCAGTGACATGGCAGTTGCTTCAATGCATTTAGGAGTGTGGTCCTGGTCAAGACAATCTCCTGAACTCCAAACTGAATGTCAGAATGGGAAAGAAAGGTGATTTAAGCAATTTTGAGCATGGCATGGTTGTTGGTGCCAGACGGGCCGGTCTGAGTATTTCACAATCTGCTCAGTTACTGGGATTTTCACGCACAACCATTTCTAGGGTTTACAAAGAATGGTGTGCAAAGGGAAAAACATCCAGTATGCAGCAGTCCTGTGGCCGAAAATGCCTTGTTGATGGTAGAGGTCAGAGGAGAATGGGCCGACTGATTCAAGCTGATAGAAGAGCAACTTTGACTGAAATAACCACTCGTTACAACCGAGGTATGCAGCAAAGCATTTGTCCAGCCACAACACGCACAACCTTGAGGCGGATGGGCTACAACAGCAGAAGACCCCACCGGGTACCACTCATCTCCACTACAAATAGGAAAAAGAGGCTACAATTTGCACGAGCTCACCAAAATTGGACAGTTGAAGACTGGAAAAATGTTGCCTGGTCTGATGAGTCTCGATTTATGTTGAGACATTCAAATGGTAGAGTCAGAATTTGGCGTAAACAGAATGAGAACATGGATCCATCATGCCTTGTTACCACTGTGCAGGCTGGTGGTGGTGGTGTAATGGTGTGGGGGATGTTTTCTTGGCACACTTTAGGCCCCTTAGTGCCAACTGGGCATCGTTTAAATGCCACGGCCTACCTGAGCATTGTTTCTGACCATGTCCATCCCTTTGTGACCACCATGTACCCATCCTCTGATGGCTACTTCCAGCAGGATAATGCACCATGTCACAAAGCTCGAATCATTTCAAATTGGTTTCTTGAACATGACAATGAGTTCACTGTACTAAAATGGCCCCCACAGTCACCAGATCTCAACCCAATAGAGCATCTTTGGGATGCCCTGGATGTGCATCCTGGATGTGCATCCCACAAATCTCCATCAACTGCAAGATGCTATCCTATCAATATGGGCCAACATTTCTAAAGAATGCTTTCAGCACCTTGTTGAATCAATGCCACGTAGAATTAAGGCAGTTCTGAAGGCGAAAGGGGGTCAAACACCGTATTAGTATGGTGTTCCTAATAATCCTTTAGGTGAGTGTATATTCACTATATTAGTTATATAAAGTTTGGACACACCAAGCTACATACAAAGCAGAGCGATAATGTCACATCACATGACCTGGCCACCTGACATTTTTTTTCTTTAGCTTATATAACTTATGAAGCACCACCTTATCGTGGTGGAGGGGTTTGTGTGCCTCCATGATCCTAGGAGCTATGTTGTCAGAGGCAGTTGCCCCTAGTAGGGTCTCCCAAGGCAAACTGGTCCTAGGTGGGTGGCCAGACTCAGTGAGGTTCACATAGACCCCTATGATCAATGACAATAAGGACCATGTTACCTTGCCTGAATTGGGAAGACCGGGGCCTCGCCCTGGAGCCAGGCCTGGGGCGGGAGTTTGAAGGCAAGCACCTGGTGGCTGGGCCTCCACCCATGGGGCCCAGCCAGGCATAGCCTGAAGGGGTAACATGGGTTCATCCCCCTAAAGACCCACCACCTACAGGGGAAGCCGTGGGAGTCGAGTGCAATGTAGATCGGGTGCCAGTCAAAGGCAGGGTCCTTCGTGGACCAATCGTTGGCTACTGGCTCTTGGTATATGCAATGTAACCTCTCTGGTGGAAAAGGAACCTAATCTGGGGTGGGGGTAGGGAGAAACTGACTAGATATAGTTGGGCTCATGTCAACACATGGCTCAGGCTCTAGAACTCCTGGAGAGAGTCTGAACTCTATTCCACTCTGGAGTTGCCCTTGGTGAGAGGCTCCAGACAGGGGTGGGGCTACTTATAGCCCCCGGTTTGGTACCAGTGCATTGGAGTTTACCCCGTGGGATGAGAGAGTCGCCTCCCTTCGACTTTTTGTCGGGAGACGGACTCTTAGCAGTTGTCTGTGCGTACGTGTCAAACACCAGCTCTTCACCCTAACACGGATTCTGACGGGTTCAATGGTAGTTTGTGGTTTGTGGACTAGGAAAAGGCATACAATCATGTCCCTCAGGGGGTCCTGTGGGGAGTATGGGGTATGGGGTCCACTGTTGTGGGCCATCAGATCCCTGTAAAAATAGAATGAGAGCTTGGTTCACATTACCAACTGTAAGTCAGACTCGTTCCCAGTGAGTGTTGGACTCTGTCAGGGCTGCCCTTTGTCACCGGTTCTGTTGATAACATTTATGGACAAAATTTTTTGGTGTCTGAGGCCATGGTTCTCGACCGGAAAAGGGTGGATTGCCCTCTCCTAGTGGGGGATGAGTTACTGCCTCAAGCAGGAAGTATCTCAGGGTCTTGTTCATGAGTGAGGGAAAAAGGGAGCAGGAGACTGACAGATGGATCAGTGCAGCGTCATCAGTAATGTGGATGCTGTACTGTTCTGCTTTAGTGAAGAGGGAACTGAGCTCTGGGTAGTGACCGAAATAATAAAATTGTGGACACAAGCCGACGAAATGAGTGTCCTCAGCAAGGTGGCTGGGTTAAGCCTCGGAGAGGGTAAGGAGGTCAGACTTTCTTTCAGGAGGGGCTCAAAGTAGAGTCTCTGCTCCTCTACATCGAAAGGAGCCAGTTGTGGTGGTTTGGACATCTATCTAGGATGCCTCCTGAGGAGGGGTTTCGGGCAGGTCCACCTGGGAGGAGGCCAAGAGGCAGACCCAGGACATACTGGAGAGATTATATCTCTCAGCTGGCCTGGGAGCGCCTTGGAATTCCTCTGGTGGAGCTGGAGGAGGTGGCTGGTGAAAAGGATATCTGGGCATCTCTGCTTAGACTGCTGCCCCCGCGACCCAACCCCGGATAAGCGGCAGAAGATGGATGGATGGATGGATGAACTTATGTAGATAGGCTTCTCTGAAAAATGATGATTTAGACCAGGGGTCACCAACCTTTTTGAAACTGAGTGCTACTTCACGGGTACTGAGCCATACGAAGGGCTACCAGCTTGAAACGCCCTCCTAAACTTATCTAAACTTCATGTATAATAAACATGTTTTAAATGTTTTTTTTTTTTAGATATTGTCATTTTCAAATCTATATAAATGCAAATGTGATTAAAGAAGAATAGCAACAGGATAAAATAAAATTTTAGACGCTGCTCACTGGTGAGTTGTGGTATTTTTAGAACAGGTCCATGGGTGACTCATGTGGTTCTTGGGGGCATCCTGGTGCCCGGGGGCACCATGTGGGTGACCCCTGATTTATACATTTTGCATTATAGCAGTCTCACATCATATTTAATATCATATATTTCTGGAGCACCCTTCCATGGCATACACATAAGCTTTAATTTAAACTGTTTCATTCCAGGCTTGAGGAGATCAGCGCTGAAGCCAGCAAGGAGTTTTCCCTGGAAAAATCCTTGGACAAGATGAGGTCAGAGTGGGCTGAACTTCGCTTTGTCTTCACCCCATACAGAGACACGGTGAGTGGGTTTCTCAGCACAGTGGGTTCTACTTAGTAATCATGTTCCAGTGCTGTGCAGAGCAACATTACTTTGACTTTAATTTAACCAGTAGGAAAGGTTAGATGACTGCACATTCAATCATAATGGTAGCAGCCATACCATTGGTTAGTCGTAGAGGTAGAAAGATCAGGTTCAGAAAGTACAAATCCAAACTAAGATTTTGTTTCAACCAATCGTTCGAGTATTAAGAGTTTCATTCGCAGAGTACTCCACCGGTTGGTTGAAAGAAAATCTTGGTCTGGATTTGTATTTGCTGAATCTGAACTTTCCACCTCTGGTTATTTGTTTATGTAAATCATAACCATACCTTGTACCTGGACTGGTTTTCTGAGCCTCTGTAACATATCTGTGGGGGCAGGGTACAAGCATTGTGAGTGCAGTAGATGACATCCAGGTGCTCCTTGATGATCACATCATCAAGACCCAGACCATGCGTGGTTCTCCGTTCATCAAACCTATTGAGACTGACTGTAAGGTGGGATGCACATCTACTTTCTGAATGTGTGCACCATGTTAGATTCTCCCCAACCTACAGTAAATGAACCCAATTCTCCACACAGCAATGGGAAGAGAAGTTACTGCTGATCCAGGACGTTGTTGATGCCAAGCTGAAGTGTCAAGCCAGCTGGCTGTACCTGGAGCCCATCTTTAGCTCAGAGGACATCATTGTCCAAATGCCAGAAGAAGGCCGCAAATTTGCCATAGTTAATAACCACTGGAAGGAGATCATTGCTGAAGCGGTGGGAACTGTAGAGCAAAAGATATATAGAGCTTTGATGCTGATTATGCACCTCTTGTATAGTGTTTTGAACCCCGAAAAGAGATTTTTACCGTAACCATGTTGTGGCACCTACTTGTGTTTGCAGGTAAAAGACCCCAGAGTGCTGGTAGCTACAGCCCAGCCCAACATGCTGGAGAGATTGAAGGCTTCCAATGTGTTTTTGGAGGAAATTCAAAAGGGGCTCAACACTTATCTGGAGCAGAAAAGACTCTTCTTCCCAAGGTATGCAGGGCAGCAGGTACAGATTAATCATGATGATTGATTCAATATTTTTATAATCAAGCTATTGCTCTTGTGAGAAATCATGTCACCTCTCGTTTCTGGTCCTCCTGGTCATCGCTGGACGCGCAGGTTTTTCTTCCTGTCAAATGATGAGCTTCTGGAGATCCTTTCAGAGACTAAGGATCCACTAAGAGTCCAACCTCACCTGAAGAAGTGCTTCGAAGGCATCGCTAAGCTCGAGTTCACAGAGGACATGGAGATCACTGGCATGATCAGCTCTGAGAAGGAAACTGTTCCATTCGTCCGAAAAATCTACCCAGCTAAGGCCAAGGTGTCTGTCAGCGATGTGCAAGTGCTGAAACAGCTTTATTTAGAAGTTTGTGTCTGTATATATTATGTATTTACACCAGGGGCTTATACCAGGGGGGAACAGGGGCACTGGCCCCAGCTGAAGGCTGATTGGCCCCTGGAGAGCCCCTCCTCTGTCGTTCACCAATTCAAAATATAAAATACTTAAGGTGCTCCCCACCTTAACAAGGTCCTGTAATAAATCCTGATTGACACCTATTTTGGTGTTGATGCTTCTTCATACCTCAGCATCATTTCCAAAGGGAACCGTTCCCTGTATTGTTTCGCACAGGGCATGGTGGAGAAGTGGCTGCAGCAGGTGGAGGAGGCGATGCTGAGCAGTATGAGAGCTGTCATTCATGATGGAGTCAAAGAATATGTCCAGGTGCCAAATCATCAGTCATTTAGGAACAAGTCCCTTGTAAGACATGTACCAGTCAAATGGCTGGACACACCAAGCCTTCTACAAAGTGTTGCGTCACAAATTGTCCCATCACATGACCTGACCACCTGACCTAAACCCAGAGATGGTTTTGACAAGAGAATGAAGGAAAAGTGGCCAGTGAGTGCTCAGCATATGTGGGACCTCCTTCAGGACAGCTGGAAAAGCATCCCAGGAGGCCACCTCATGAAACTGGAGTAGAGGAGACAGTAGGTCAGACAGTCCCTGGAGCGATTGGGGATAAGGGCCTTAAGGGCCCAGTGGTGGGATCACTCTGCCGACCATGGGATTTGAACTGGCAACCTTCTGAGTCCTATTCTACAGAGCACCCCCCTCCCCAACAAATTAATTCTTTTTAGTACTTTTTTGGTCACTGCATAATTCCATTTATGCTATTTTATAGTTCTGATGTCTTTATAATTATTCTAAAACGTAGAGCATAGTACAAATACACCTGTCTATGGGTGGGTGTGTCCAAACTTTTGCCTGGTACTGTACATGCAACCGTTTTTCAAATTCCCCTTGTTCAGTTCCATTAAAGTTTAAGAAGTGCAGGAAATGTGTTGAAGGTTCCGAGGAAGAAGTGGGTGCTGAAATGGCCAGGACAGGTTGTCATTTGCGCCTCTTCCATCTTCTGGACCAGTGAAGTCTCAGATGCCATTGAGAAGAACAGTATCTCTGTGAGTTCCCACTGCGGCTCATCTCTGCCCATACGTATCAACTTTGTACCACTATGTTCTCTTCCTAATCATCACAATTAATAATCCTGCTGTTTTGTTGCTGAGGTTTTATTTGACATCACAGGTTTTCTGTTTACTGTAAGGCATACTTGGAGAAAAGCAATGCTCAGATAGCTGACATAGTGGAGCTGGTGAGAGGGAACCTGTCAGGGGGGGCACGTATGACCCTGGGGGCTTTGACTGTCATCGACGTTCACGGTACATCCTATGGTGTCGCTTTGCCGCCACTGTCGGTTGAGTTCGGCCCTGAGACCCACCCTCAATGCTAAGCCCCTTCTGTGCCCCTCCCAGCACGTGATGTGGTTGCAAGGCTGGCCCAGGATGGCGCTTCCTCTCTGAGTGACTTCCAGTGGATTTCCCAGCTTCGGTATTTCTGGGAAGATGGTGACGTGCTTGTGCGCATGATCACCACCACCGTGAAGTACGGCTACGAGTACCTGGGGAATTCCCCGCGTCTCGTCATCACTCCGCTGACTGACCGCTGCTACAGGTCTGTCATAGCAACACCTCATTCTTTTATTTCATAAGTTAACTTACTTTAAATAACATTTAGCATATTCTTTTATCGGACCATGTATGTGCTAAGTTATTAATTCAAGAAACGAGATCTAGCTGTGACTTTAAGGGCCTATAAAGTGGTATTTCAGGACATTACACACAATATTTCAGGACACTAATGGGAGCCCTGAAATTGAACCTGGGAGGTGCTCCGGAGGGGCCTGCAGGAACTGGGAAGACAGAGACCACCAAAGATCTGGCCAAAGCGCTGGCAAAGCAGGTGTGTCACAGCGTGCATTAAGCTGTAGCCAGGGTTCGAAAGATGGCTCTATTGTAATAGGCACTATGCTCTCCACATAAGTGGATAAGTACTGGATAAGTAGTTAGAAGATGACTAGATAGGCAGGTGGATTCTTATTGTTATTGCTGTTAATTACAATATTCATCGTAATGATCAGAAGTAGAAGATTAAAGGAATTGTAGGTCACTGTTATGTACGTTATCTCTTCTCCTGATTTATGTATTTGTCGGTCTGTGCCTTCTCTCCCAGTGTGTGGTCTTTAACTGCTCTGACGGCCTGGATTATAAGGCCATGAGCAAGTTCTTCAAAGGCTTGGCGCAGTCGGGAGCCTGGGCCTGCTTCGATGAGTTCAACCGCATCGAGGTGAGTGGTCAGAGAGGGACCTCCAAGGCGGAGAACCCCGAGCCCATTAAAGCCGCCGTCTTCCCTGACTCTGCACGCCAGGTGGAGGTGCTGTCTGTGGTGGCCCAGCAGATCCTCAGCATCCAGCAGGCCATTGCCCGCAACCTCAGGACCTTCCTGTTTGAGGGCACAGAGCTCTCACTGAACCCCACCTGCTCAGTCTTCATCACCATGAATCCCGGCTATGCCGGCAGGGCTGAGTTACCGGACAACCTCAAGGTGTTTAGCACCAGTCCCGTAAAAGCAGAGAATCATACTATTGCAAATAAGAAAAACGTACAAATGACGTACCTGAAATATCAGTATTTGCAGGATGCTGGTCCTTCTGTGTTTGCAGGCCCTTTTCCGCACAGTGGCGATGATGGTGCCAGACTATGGTCTTATTGGCGAGATCTCACTATACTCAATGGGATATATTGAATCCCGCAGGTATCCGTATTATAAATCCTATTATTAACTGATTCATGTTTGATTTGCAGTATTTGTATGTGTATCCATGGTTTCAGTAGCCACTTTTTTCAGGTTACACAGTCCAAGAAAAGCGGACAATTCCTGAAATTGCTACAAAAATGTATAAAAATCCTGAGTTTCATTGCTCTGTCATCCTTTGATGCATATTTTTCATGGCTCTATTGTCTCCTGAGAATTAGGCAAAACCGTCAGAATCCCTTTCATTCAACAGAGAGTACAGTACTGTACAAAGATGTACAATGTACTTTATTACTACTGAATTTAATGTTGGTAATGTCTTACTGTGCATAATGTATCAATGTAACTTTACCATATGTATGTACAAGAAAATCACATCATAACCACGGGTGGTTCACCATTATCCACGATTTTGGCTAATCATGTCACCCGCGGGTACGGGGGCATTACTGTATGGTTGAAATCATCAAAAACTGTCCGAAAGACTGAAAATGCCAGAAAATAGTGCACTTTTCCTCCGTAAAAGCAGCAGCAAAGTTGAGATGTTATCTACATTTTCCCCTCTCGTCTTTTATGTTGACCGTAGTCTTGCGCAGAAAATCGTGGCCACCTACAGACTATGTTCGGAGCAGCTCAGCTCTCAGCATCACTATGACTACGGGATGCGAGCAGTGAAGTCGGTCCTGACAGCAGCAGGGAGCCTGAAGCTGAAATACCCCCAGGAGGACGAGAGCGTACTGCTGCTGCGAGCCCTGATGGATGTTAACATGGCTAAATTTCTGGCTCAAGATGTGCCACTTTTCCAGGTCAGGTATTGTGTGCACAGCTCTCCCCAGATGTGAATGATATTAGTGAGATATGTAACATCAAATTGCAGCGACATGTACAGTTCAAATTCGTGAGGATGGAATGGAAGATCCCCACAAATGTGAAAATTCACAAATACTTGGGTCTTTTGTTAAAAATGCTAAGTTAACTTAAAAAGTTACTGTGAGAAATGCTTCACTTCAAGGTCACAGAGACAGCTGACACGTGAGTGAGGCTGGTTACCGAGACAAAGTTGTGTAGCGTAGCCAAGCCAAGACTTTTAATATTAAAGATAAAGTATTCATTTACACTAACAAATATTATGTAGGCCTATTACTCATATTTAAATATTGTGTGATTTTATGTGACCCAAATCAATTTCTGTATCGTTTATATATTTTTAGCTTACATGGCGTCCAAAAATATTCCCATATAACTGATCACGGTCAATTCACCAATAACAATCAGCAATGTCAAATTTGTGAATCTGTAGGGGTGGCTATCATGATGCATAGGCAGTATGATATACGATTAATGTTTTCTTCTTTGGTGATTGTGTCTGCTTGCACCGCAGGGTATCATTTCAGACCTCTTCCCAGGGGTAGTCCTTCCTAACCCAGACCATGAGGTTCTTCTCCAGGCCATTAATGACAACATGGCCAAGCTGCGACTTCAGCCCGTCCCCTGGTTCATCGGCAAAATAATCCAGGTGCATGGTGACGCTGTAAAGATGATCCCCGAAAGAGAAGCTTAAGTCAGTAAGATGCTTAGGGGATGGTGGACATCACTGTGCTGAGCTGTGACCTCCCTGGTGCCCGCAGGTTTATGAGATGATGCTGGTCCGTCACGGGTTCATGATTGTGGGAGAGCCCCTGGGTGGGAAGACCTCCGCCTATGAAGTCCTTGCCGGAGCGCTCTGTGATCTTCATGAAGGTTTCTCTTTTTGGATTTTCTCTTGTTCAATTTACGATCTGTTAATTTCAAATCGGTTCCTTTTGAATGTAATCCAGTGCTTCCTGGTTTCCGAACGTGAACCAGGTGGATGTCTGCTGATGTTGAGTCCATTTTCTCTCACCCCAAGCCGAGCTAATGGACGAATTTGCAGTGGACTTCCGAATCATTAACCCCAAAGCCATTACTATGGGTCAGCTCTACGGTTCATTTGATCCCGTCAGCCATGAGTGGTCAGACGGGGTGCTGGCCAACTCTTTCCGAGAGCAGGCCGTATCCACATCAGATGACCGAAAATGGATAATCTTCGATGGTCCCATCGATGCTGTGTGGATTGAAAATATGAACACTGTCTTAGACGACAACAAGAAGGTATGGGATACTAAATAATTCCTAATTATTGAATAGTTAATGATCATTATTATAATTAATAATTATAATATCTTTTTGTGAAAAATAGTGAGATCATTACTAAATGGCTGGAGTACACTTAACTCATAACGGACTGAATGTTGCATATTAGTTCTTTTTTTAAAGACTACAAAATGGTAATGAAAACTGTTTAAGTGTTGGCATTGTGTGCTCTACTTGTCCCATTCAAGCTGTGTCTGATGAGTGGTGAGATCATCCAGATGAGCCCGAAGATGAGCCTCATCTTTGAGCCAGCAGACCTGGAGCAAGCTTCCCCAGCCACTGTCAGCAGGTCAGGCTAACCAGCGGGAACTACAAACGGTACCTGCAAAGCCATGAACATGCTTTGATCAGATATGGCCCTTGCTTTCTGTGTTCCAGATGTGGTATGATCTACATGGAGCCACATCAGCTGGGCTGGGCCCCTCTAAAGGTCTCCTATATGGACACTCTACCAGACAGCTTGAGCTCAGAGCACAAAGAACTGGTGAAAATTATATTTATAGTTGTTTTTCATTCAGACTAATAATGACACATTACTATCTTACTTCATTTTTCAAGAAACACAGCAAAAGCCGAAAAATCCGATTTTGGTTTGAATTTTTGGCTTATTTTCCTGTCTTATAGGAATGCTCTGTTATTCCTTCTTCTGTAGGTCGAGGACTTGTTCAACTGGCTGGTGCAACCGTGCCTGGATTTCATTTACCGCGAGTGTCGCTTCCTTCTGCAGAGCTCTCCCACACACTTGGCCTACAGCCTGATGAGGCTCTATACTTGTCTTCTGGGTTTGTAACAACTATCATTACAAGAGTGAAGGAAGCTAGTCGGTGGATTTTCACATTATACTTAGATACAGTGATCAGATAATCCATGTCAGGGAGGACACTTTGAGCCAGGACAGGATTTATAAACTGCCATTTCAATCAAAAGGACCTGGAGTTGGCTTAAGCACTGAGTCCTTGCTGTGTGCTGATTGGTCAATCTCTTATAATCATGCATGTGACAATAATGTTAATGTGAAACAGCTGGATGCGTCAAGGAAACAAACTAGTCAAAGTACAAGAAGAACTGAACTATTTAGCCAAACACAGGTTTGTAAAACCTGAAGTAGCTCAAAGTGTCCTTCCTGACATGGATTATCTGGTCGTTCTAACTTAGAAATTACTGCATGCAAAGTGTCTGTAATTCCTCTGTAGTATAGCAATAACAAAGTGGACAATGCCCTAAATGCGACATACATTGCTTAGAATGAGAAGTAGGAAATGAGATGAGCTGCATGTTTCATTATCTCGGGCTTCCTTGACAGATGAGATTGCTGAGTCAGGAAGACACGGGGCGGAGTCAATGTCCAGCCCACAAATGACACTGTGGCTTCAAGGCCTCTTCCTTTTCGCTGTTGTCTGGAGCTTGGGGGGCACTGTTAATGGAGAAAGCCGCAAGAAGTTTGATGTCTTCTACCGTAACCTGCTGGAAGGCAGGAGCGCCGAACATCCCCGGCCTAGAAGTGTAAAGCTAACAAAGAACAATGTCTTCCCCGAAAGAGGTTCAATGGTTGATTTCTCAGTTAAAAACCATCATTGGTGAAAAGTTTTATTGTATTCATTATCTAATACACCTTGTGTCTGCAGGAATGGTCTATGACTACTACTTCCACAAACAGGCATCTGGACAATGGAACATGTGGACAGATCGAATCACAAAGGAGGAATCCACCATCTGTCCTGGGGCCAATGTTAGTCTTTTCTCGTTTCTCTTTTAATTTTATTTCCAGACTGATGCATCCAACATCTATACTTCCTGCTGATAGCCATGTGTCACGTCCCTTCCTTACCTCTGCCTCTCTGACAGGTATCTGAGCTCATCATACCCACCGTGGAAACTGCACGCCAGTCCTTCTTCCTGCACACGTACCTTGCCCATGAGGTGCCCGTGTTGTTTGTTGGCCCTACCGGCACGGGCAAGTCCGTCATCAACAACAGATTCCTGCTCCAGCTTCCAAAAGAACAGTACATCCCAAACTGCATCAATTTCTCCGCCCGCACCTCTGCTAACCAAACTCAGGACATCATTATGTCTAAGCTGGACCGCAGAAGAAAAGGTGTCTTCGGTCCCCCGATGGGAAAGAAGTGTGTGCTCTATGTAGGTAAGGAATTGGCATGTATTTATGAATTTAGTTTCTTAATGTAGTTGTACTCTAATTATTACATTATTGTACATACACATACACAGGTACATAAAAGTATTCAATATTATATTGGTCATTTTTTTTACTTTGATTTCTTAGATGATCTCAACATGCCTGCAAAGGAAATTTACGGTGCCCAACCACCCATTGAACTGTTACGACAGTGGATTGACCACAGCCATTGGTATGACAAGAGGGACACTGCAAGGCTGGACATAGTCGACGTTCTCTTTGTGTCTGCGATGGCTCCCCCTGGTGGGGGTCGGACTGACATTACAGGTACAGAGGTGGATACTCTACACATAATACAGCTGCTTTCCTAAAATTACTCAATATGTGAATAATAAATAGAAGCACAGTTAAGTAGCAGACTATTAATAAATATATTAATGAATATATTAGTGAAATTTTAATTGACCATCCAAGAATATGGTTACTCATCTATTTTTAAATGAAGGGCGATTCACGCGGCACCTAAACATCATTGCTATTGACTCCTTCGATGATGAGACCCTGACTAAGATTTTTACATCCATCACCGACTGGCATTTTGAGAAGGGCTTTGATCCCTCTTTTCAAAGGTGAGAGTTAATCTTCTTGTGATCTAATTTTATAAAAATGTGTTAAATAACAAGCATGTTTTATATGCAGTTTGTGTGATACCACTTTGATTATCATATGAATTATGCACATTTACAGTATCTTAAAGTATGTTATGCATATATTTTACTTGCCGCATATTTCTTTACCCTCCAACTTTTGAATCACTGATTTGCCAAATTCAAGAAACAAATTCTGCAATGTTTCTGTATTTATTAAAAAAAAGGTTCTATTTAAATATTAAATAATTTAGAAAATATTCAGAAAACAATTTTGCATGACATTATGTATTTCTGCAGCTTTTTCTTTATAATATAAATGTATTATAAACCATAAATGTATCTTTAAGAAGCAGGTAATACATTTAACGTTCTTTTGCGGCCCCATTTCTTGTAATTGTGCAGCGCTCACACCTGTGTCAGCCACACGTGCACCTGACACTGCACACCGTTCACAGAGCTCTGTCTCATAATTAATTCATGTGAGCTGAGGCCGCTGTGTTTTTTAGGCTGGGGATGATACTGGTGCAGGCTACCAAGGCCGTGTACAAGGATGCCACAGGCCACTTCCTGCCCACCCCCTCGAAGTCCCACTACATCTTTAACTTGAGGGACTTTGCCAGGGTGATACGGGGCGTGCTTTTGTGCCCCCACTCCCATCTGCAGGCAAGGCTTCTCTTCATCGCTCTCTACAGCCTGCAGAAGTGCTGCCTGCAGCATTTTCGCACCATTGCCCTCAGCTGTGTTTGCACACAAACGTATTTTATGCTTATGCTATGCTTGCACTTTTATCTAAGGAAAATTTCAATTGTATTTTACAGCCAGATGTTATACTGTAGCAGTTCATTGTAAGAGCTTCAACCTTCTGGATACAAATACTGCCCTTCCTACAATATTTAGCCCATGTGTTTTTGATATTTAATTCAGTAACATTTATATTAAATGCACCTTCATAATGCATTCATTATGCATTCATAAACAGAATGTAAGTATACCTTTAATCCTTTAATATATTAATAACAAACATTATATAATTATAATGATTGTTTTTAATGTATATTACAGATGTTAAGGTATGTTAGGATGTTAAAGTATACTTACATGCTACTTATGAATGTTCTACGAGTGCAATATGAAGGTGCACTTAACGTTCAATTAATGCATTATAAAGGCATTATGAAGGTGCAGTTAATGTAAAGTATTGCCTTATATTTTTAAAGTATTCTATTCAAACTTCATTCTGATTTTTGCAGTTTAAAAAGTTTGGCTATGGACATTAGATAATCTGACTGAGGTTTACACAGTCCTGTGTCATTTTACATAAGGTTATCATTTTAAATAATAGCAACAGGCAAAATTGTTACCTGCCTGATGTAATTCAAAATATCCAGGAGTGATTTCTTGACACTTGTCAAGAGTAATTATTCGTCTGTTTTTTATGTCCAGTTTTCAGAGATTTTGAATAATTTCACTTCTGTATTCAGTCACAGACAATGGCAGGTGGCAAACCACGACATCTCAAAGTCACTGCCATTTCCAGCCGTGTTTTTTTACTCCGTTAATCAGCTGATGACATGTGGGTAGGGTATGCACAGACAGGAGTCAGTCTAAAAATTACATTCTCATCTGAGCTTTGACTTCAGCTGTACGACTCTAGTCTCTCCCTATAGGAAATAATGGCCTTAATGTAATAATAGAAATTCTTTCTATTATTTTTGGGTTTAGCCCTGTTATTTAGTAATTTGTACAATAACAAAAACAACATACATTTTTGGTAACACTTTTTTTGGATAGCCTACAGAGGATCTTCTTTTTAACAGTTTTATTTAACATAAATACTATGACATTCCAACACCTTAGCTGAGATTCAACAATTTAGCTGTTTTGCTGTGTCTGTAGATGTTTAATAGACTATAGAGTATACAGTGTATATGTAATGATTCATGAATGTACCTACATATTCTTAGAATAATTTAATTGAATTTAATTACTCATAGTTATATGAATTATTGAATCTCAACTTGAAATGTTCTTGAAACAAACACTTTGTATACCCTCTGTAGGCGGACTATTCAAACAGTGTTACCAATTTATTTTTTTTTGTACAAAAAAAAAAGTTTGTGTGAATTAAATGACTAATTGGCACTTATATTTTATATTTATTGACAGGACAGAAACAAGCTGATTCGATTATGGATACATGAGGTTTATCGTGTGTTCTACGACCGTCTTGTAGACAACACAGACAGAGAATTTTTTTTCAATATTGTCAAGGAGAGAACTTCTGGCATTTTCAAGGAGAGCATGGACATGGTAATGGACTTTCTTTTATTTCTAAGCAAAAAAATGTCTGAGAAAAGTTCTGAGAAACTTATTAAATCTAATAGAAGTATAGTCATGGGAACAAAGCATTTCAATGTTCCTCAACAGCTCCTCAGTCATCTTGCCCTGGCTGGGAAAATGACAGATGAAGCCATTCACAGTCTTTTCTTTGGGAATTATGCCACGCCTGACTCCGATGTCAAGGCCTATGATGAGATCACAGACCTTCAGCAGCTCTTGGCTGTGATGGAGCTATACCTGGATGAGTTCAACCATGTCAGCCAGGCACCCATGTCATTCGTCATGTTCAAGTTTGCCGTTGAGCACATCTCCCGGATCTGTCGTGTGCTCCAGCAAGACAACGGTCACTTGCTGCTCGTGGGCATAGGCGGTTCAGGCAGACAGAGTGCGACCAAGCTTAGTACCTTCATCAGTAATTATGAACTCTTCCAGATTGAGCTGACTAAAAACTATGGGATGACTGAGTGGAGGGATGATCTGAAAAAGGTAATGCTACAAGCTGGCATTCAGGGAAAGAGAACAGTCTTCCTGTTCAGTGACAGCCAGATCAAAGATGAGGCCTTTGTGGAAGATATCAATATGCTGCTCAACACGGCTGACATACCTGATATCTTCCCGGCCGACGAGCGTGCAGACATCATAGACAAGGTGCAAGGTATCGCACGGCTGGAGGGCAAGAAGATCGATCCCACACCTCTTTCCATGTACAACCATTTTGTTGATCGAGTCAAAGCCAACCTACATATTGTACTAGGTATCACACCAACCGTATCCGTTTCTATGATACGATTACATTGAATTTGAGAAATTGTTGTTCTTAACTGCATTTGTGTGTTCCTCTCCAGCAATGAGCCCAATTGGGGATGCCTTCAGGAACCGCCTGCGCATGTTTCCCTCGCTGATCAACTGTTGCACCATTGACTGGTTCCAAGCCTGGCCCACTGATGCACTTGAGATGGTAGCAAACAAGTTCCTGGCAGATGTGGAGTTAGACGATGACGTCAGAAGAGAGTTAGTGCTGAAGTTGCACTCTAAATGAATTGTTTCATTACTCATTCATAAAAGTGTACATGTTTGTTGCATTTATTTGTAGTGTTGGTTGCATGAATTTGAAGCACAGATGCCTGTCTCTCTCTGCAGAGTGGTGGACATGTGCAAAATATTCCATGAGAGTGTGAGGGAATTGTCAGAAAAGTACTTTTCTAGGCTAAGGAGGCATAACTATGTAACACCAACTTCCTACCTTGAACTTATCCTCACCTTCAAAGTCTTGCTTCACTCAAAGAGAAAAGAAGTGGATACTGCGAGAAACCGTTACCAACTAGGTTTACAAAAGCTGGATTTTGCAGCCTCTCAGGTGACATTTTCCATCCATCTAACTTGCAACTTCTTACTCAATACAGGGATGCAGGAAGCTTGGAGCCTATCTAGTGGAAGCCTAGGGCCCAAGGCAGGGAAACACCCTAAACTCAGCCCTAGTCTATTGACACATTTTACCCAATGACACACTGACTGTGTATTTCAGTATGGTGCATTGTTCTCTGAAATATATAGAAACACAGGGTCAGAGTAGGATTGAGCAGTATCTCATTTTTCATACTTTCCGGACATTATACTGCACTACATAGTTTTTTTGATGTTATTTTCAAAAGTAACGCTATTCTGGTACAGTAAAACCTCGGATTGCAAGCACAATTTGTTCTGGAAACGTGCTTATAATCCAAATCACTCATATATCAAAGCGAATTTTCCCATTAAAAATAATGGAAACTCAGATGATTCGTTCCACAACCCAAAATATTCATATATAAATGATTAATACAAAATATAAAGTAAAAATATATAAAACAAATTAACCTGCACTTTACCTTTGAAAAGAATTCAAATGTGGACATTGCATTGTTGTTAAACGGATTCATCACTTGCATTGTTACACCCATATCAGCGTGGTGCTTTTCTACTATATTTTGACTATACGAGTGAGGCACGCCGACTGAGATTGAGCATGGGAGACAATTACTCACAATTGCCGCAGCGAGAGAGAGAAGAACCATCGGCTCATTTGTGATTACGTGACGCCAGGCAGACAAAGCTTACGTAATACTCGTATTGCAAGACCTCACTCTTTTATCAAGTTAAAATTTATTACAAATTTTTGCTCATCTTGCAAAACACTCACAAACAAAGTTACTCACAATCCACGGTTTTACTGTATTTTGAAATCTTGGTGATTAAATTTGCCGAGTGGGGGGTTCCCTACGATAAAATCTACCAGGGGTGGGGGTGCACAGTAACATTCACCAAGCAAGGGGATCCCCACACTATATTTCAGCAAATGGCAAATTTTATCATGAGGAACCATGATTACAAAATACTGTAGCATATCCAAAATGGACCGTAACACCACCCAAGCCTAGGTGCGAGACTATTATCCTACGTGGAAACTGCATGAAGTAAAACATTGTGGATCTTGAATCATACCACATGATCCTTAACTGATTCCTCTGGGTCCAGGTGTCGGTGATGCAGCAGGAATTAACTGCCTTGCAGCCAGAGCTGATTAAGACATCAGCTGAGACGGAAAAGATGATGGTTAAGATTGAGAAGGAGACTGGTGAGGTGGATGTTAAGAAGGAGCTGGTGTCGGCTGATGAGACTGTGGCTAATGAGGCAGCAGCTGCAGCCAAGGCCATTAAGGTGCCATTTCCTGCTTACGGAATTGTAACGACAAAGCCTTACAGCTACTTATTCTACCTTAGTTGTTGATTTCTGTTGTCTAAATTAATATGATGATTATACAGCAAATGCTTTTGGACCTGATGTGTAATATCAAAAAGTGAAGGATGCAAGCTGTCCTGTCAACAGTGAAAAACACTAAGGTCTAAATTACTGTGTGCAGGATGAGTGTGAAGGGGATTTGGCAGAAGCTATGCCTGCCTTGGAGGCTGCGTTAGCAGCCCTGGACACCCTGAAGCCTGCTGACATCACAGTGGTGAAGTCCATGCAGAACCCACCTGGACCAGTCAAGCTGGTCATGGAGTCCATCTGTGTTATGAAGGGAATAAAACCTGAAAGGAAGCCAGACCCTAGTGGTTCAGGTAAGATTTTTCACATCAGAGATAATATTTTTCCCATGAAATAGTGTAAAAGAAAGAGTATAAATGGTTGAATTAATGTTTCAGAATGTTGAAAATTTCAAAGCATAAATCATTTTTATTTTAATCTAGGTAAAATGATTGAGGACTACTGGGGTGCCTCAAAAAAATTGCTTGGTGACATGAAGTTCCTGGAGAGTCTGAAAGCATTTGATAAAGACAACATCCCGGCAGCTAACATGAAGAAGATCAGGGAGAAGTTCATCAACCACCCAGATTTTCAGCCTTCCATAATCAAAAATGTGTCATCAGCCTGTGAGGGTTTGTGCAGATGGGTGCGGGCCATGGAGGTGTACGAGCGTGTGGCCAAGGTAGTGGCTCCCAAAAAGGAGCGTCTGATAGAAGCAGAGGAGGAGCTTGCGGTGCAGATGCAAAATCTGACAGTGAAAAGAGCAGAGCTGAAGGAGGTGGAGGACAGGCTCCAGGCCTTGAATGACACCTTTAATACCATGACCAAGAAGAGGAAGGACCTGGAAAGAAACATTGAACTGTGCTCACAGAAACTGATCCGAGCAGAGAAGTTAATCGGCGGTCTTGGTGGGGAGAAAGACCGGTGGACAGAGGCTGCCAGAATCCTGGGGGTGCAGTATATTAACCTTACTGGTGACGTGCTGCTATCTGCGGGCATGGTGGCCTATCTGGGGGCTTTCACAGTGGATTACCGCACAGAGTGCCAAAAGAAGTGGCACTTACTCTGCGAGCAGAAGCATATCCCATGCTCACAAGAATTCTCCCTCAGCAGTACAATGGGGAATCCAGTAATGATTAGAACATGGCAGATAGCAGGCCTGCCTGTTGACTCTTTTTCCACAGACAATGGAATCATTTTGTCCAAGTCCCGCAGATGGCCTTTGATGATAGACCCCCAGGGTCAGGCAAACAAATGGATCAAGAACATAGAGAAGGCTAACAAGCTAGTTGTCATTAAACTCTCAGATGGAAACTATGTGAGGACTCTAGAAAATGCTATCCAGTTTGGGATTCCTGTCCTGCTGGAAAATGTTGGAGAGGAGTTGGATGCTGTGCTGGAACCGGTGTTACTAAAGCAAACTTTCAAACAGCAAGGAGTGGAGTACATGAAGCTTGGGGAGAATATAGTGGAATACTCCCAAGACTTTGTGTTTTATATGACCAGTTGTCTCAGGAACCCACATTATCTACCTGAGATTGCAGTCAGGGTCTGCTTGTTGAATTTCATGATCACCCCTCTAGGGTTGGAAGACCAACTCTTGGGCATTGTGGCCGCTATGGAGAAACCTCAACTTGAAGAGAAGAAAAACCAGCTAATTATTGAGAGTGCTGCAAATAAGAAACAGCTGCAAGAGATTGAGGATAAAATTCTGGAGGTGCTGTCTTCTTCCCAGGGCAATATCCTAGAGGATGAGACTGCAGTCAAAGTTCTCTCCTCCTCTAAGGTACTCTCAGAAGAAATCTCAGAAAAACAGAAGATTGCCAGCATTACAGAGAAAGAGATAGACGGTACCCGGATTGGATACCGCCCAGTTGCAAAGCATTCTTCCATCCTTTTTTTCTGCATTTCAGATCTTGCTAACATTGAGCCCATGTACCAGTACTCACTGACATGGTTTATAAACCTCTATATGCAGTCAATTGCTCAGAGTGTGAAAAGTGAGGACCTTAACACTAGGATTGTGCATATAATTGAACACTTTACAGTCAGCATCTACAACAACGTGTGCCGGTCACTCTTTGAGAAAGACAAGCTTCTCTTCTCTTTGCTGCTGACAGTGGGAATCATGCAGGGTGAAGGTCAAGTGGACAATGAGGTGTGGCGATTCCTCTTAACAGGGGGAATTGCACTGGACAATCCACAGCCAAACCCGGCCCCTGAATGGTTATCAGACAAGTCCTGGTCGGAGATTGTACGAGCCTCGAAACTCAGGAATCTTAACGGACTTTCTGAGCATGTGCGGCACAACATACACGACTGGAAGAAGATCTATGATTCCAGCAAACCACATGAGGAGAAACTGCCAGACCAGTGGGCCTCCTTGGTTGGGATGGACCGCATGGTGGTGCTCCGTTGCATTAGACCTGATAAACTGGTGCCTGCTGTGCAGGACTTTATCATAGAAAATATGGGCGGGAACTTTGTCGAGCCACCAACCTTCGACTTGGCTGGCAGCTACAGGGATTCCAGCTGCTGCTCTCCCTTGATATTTGTGCTTTCTCCTGGGTCTGATCCCACAGCCGGTAATGCACATGCCCATCATTTTTCATACACTCAGACTATTACTGCAATTACTGCTGTAATCACGTCATTTATATTTACATCCACATGAAGTCTGATGAACGGCATTTCAGCTTTTCTCAAGGTGTTGAGCAAACACCTGATAATCGGCACAGGCACAGTACTAATTGTACTGTTAGGGACTTAATTATGACATATCTGCAAAGCAATTACTGACTGTTGTGAACAATGCAGTGGGTTTACTTCCATCAGTGACAGACTAAAATGCTGATGTTGATGAATTTAATTATATATTTTTTATTCATGCTGCAACCCTGACCTGGATGAACAAATAGAAGATGCATAAATGGATGGATCTGTAATTCATGAATCAAAGACCCATTCACAATCACAATGAACCACCTTTGCATATTTTACAGGTGCTATAAAATGGGGAAGTTATAATCAACTCTGATATACTAGTATTAGTTTTCAATAATTTTCTTATTGGCTGATCAAATCATATGATAGTCTTTTTCCATTGATGCAAAAGAATTTTTAAAAATTTGATTGATTATTGATTGAATAATTTGCAAGAATAATGAGTAATTGGTGGTCAGAGTTATCCTAGATAATTCAGCTATTGACCTTGGATGATTCTTCAGTGTCAAAAAGCAGCATGAAATGAAAAACTGCTATACTGGATATAAATTTGACTTTGACTCATATTTTCTTGCTTTTCATGCTAAATGCAAAACACAGTTAAAGTATTTGTTTGAAGAAAAATGATTTTATCACTTAATGTGATAAACAGTTAGCTGTGCATTAATTAAGGAGTGAATTCAGCTGGAAATAGAATAATTTTATACATGGCATGTAAGAACAGGAGACAGGGAAAAACAGGCTCTTCTAATGCTAATGTATTTTAAATACAATAAAACAACGCACAGGAATATAAAGCACCTATTACCGTATGTTATTTGCTTTTGTATCTGACATACAATTATCACTATTTAATGCGAGCAGTTATGTCTGTTGATGTGTGTTTTCAGGTTTGTTAAAGTTTGCGGATGATCTGGAAATGGGCGGGAGCAGGACTCAGACCATCTCTTTGGGCCAGGGCCAAGGTCCCATTGCCACCAGGATGGTCGAGGCGGCCATTAAGGAGGGCACATGGGTGGTGCTGCAGAACTGCCACCTTGCCACTAGCTGGATGCCCACACTGGAGAGGATCTGCGAGGAGGTGATCACACCTGAAAACACCAACCCGAGGTTCAGGTCAGCAAAGGCGGGTGACCGCGTATGGCTTTCGCGGTAAATGCATGCTAAACACACTGAAATTACCACTGATGTTTATGATTCATTTTTGTTACATTGTACTTGCAGGTTATGGTTGACCAGTTACCCTTCGGACAAGTTTCCCGTCAGCATTCTACAGAATGGAGTGAAGATGACCAACGAGCCTCCCAAAGGCCTGCGTGCTAACCTTCTACGTTCATATCTTAATGACCCCATCTCTGACCCCGCCTTCTTCGGCGGTTCCCAGAAACAGGAGGTCTGGCAGAAGCTGTTATTTGGTCTGTGCTTCTTTCATGCTCTCGTGCAGGAGAGGAGGAACTTTGGGCCACTTGGTAAGACACATATATTCTGTTCTTTCTATCCACTTCATCTCATAAATGAAGTATAGTGTGCATCAGTAATCGATGATACACATTCGTACAACACAATAAACTGTAAGGTTGGTGACCAAAAGCTATTAGGCTACTTTCCATGTTAACTTCAGGATGGAACATTCCCTATGAATTCAATGACTCTGATCTGCGAATCAGCATGAGGCAAATCCAGATGTTCCTGGATGAATATGATGAGATCCCTTTGGACGCTCTGACTTACCTAACTGGTAAGAGACTGTTCACTGTTACAAAATTAATTACGGCTTTGTTGCTGGACACAATATGCAATAAGTAAACCGTTAACTTTCACGTCATCTTTTTCAGGTGAGTGTAACTATGGAGGAAGGGTCACAGATGACAAAGACAGGCGGCTGCTGCTCTCCTTGCTGTCTAGCTTCTATTGTAAAGAATTAATTGACCAGGATCGGTACTACTTGACAGAAGGAGACCTTTACTTCATCCCCCCTCATGGTCCCTACCAGGTATGGGCTTACACATTAAGTGCTGCAAATCTTCCACGGCAGTGTGACTAAGGATAAGGTCCGAGAAGCAGGTCTTTGCCTTCAGTCCTACTCATAAGTACTATCAGCATTTCACGAGAGGTAGTCCTGCCTTGTTAATTGGTTGTCGTCTGTTGCAGACCTATGTAGATTATATCCGCAACTTGCCCATCAGCGCTGACCCTGGGGTGTTTAGGCTGCACAGCAATGCTGACATCACGAAAGACAACCAGGAGGCCAATCAGCTACTAAGTGGAGTGCTGCTTACATTACCCAGGCAATCAGGCAGGGGGGTCAAGTCTCCTCAGGTGAGGCACACGGAGGACTTTGAAAGCTTGGAACCTTGAGCCTGTTTAATGCCTTGGATTAAGGAAACATATTACTCAACACCGAGAGGTTGCTTGCTTGTCTTTATTTCTCTTTATGTTCTCAGGAAATAGTTAATGAGATGGCAGATGACATCCTGTCTAAACTGCCAGCAGATTTTAAAATGGAGATGGTGATGAAAAAGTATCCTGTGATCTATGAGGAGTCCATGAACACGGTTTTGAGACAGGAGCTAATCCGCTTTAACAGGTACAATCATTCATTCATTATGACATCATCACAAGGGATCTAAAGTAAATGACTATTCCCGAGAGACCATTTAATTTTTTATGTTATTAAAAGATCAGCTATCTGTAATCGACCATGGTCACTATCTGTACTGTATTGTGTGGTTTATATGTTCATGATTTGTTATATCTTCTAATAAAAAAATGTTACTCACAAAAAATGTTAATAAAAGCTGTGTATCTTGAAATTAAGGCATATTCATGTATGGTTACATTTTTTTATACAGATCTTTGTCTTTCAGGCTATATTCTGTCTTCCACCATGTTCTTCTGAAAAAGAAAAATGTCCAGTCAGAATTTAGACTTTCCATAATTCAGTATTTAAGTAGTTAACAGCTTCCATTAAATGTGACATGACATTTTTGGCTGCTTTCAAAAATAATCCATAATCAGCAGAAACACTGCAGTTTCTGCACTGGTTAGCAATTAAAATGGATCAGCTCATCAATCCTATTCTCTGCCACTGGGCATGAAAACCGAAGATTATTATAGCACAGCACCTCAATAAGCATAGGATTCTCATGTCAACTCAAAATACCCTGCTGGCCTTATCAAGTATGTATCATTGTTTGAGAATGAGGGATAAAAATGTTATTACTGTGATCTCAACTTACACAGAAAGTAGACAGATGGCATACGACTTGGACTACCGACAAAGACTGCAGTATTGTTCTTTATCTGCCTACTTAAGACAATTATACAACAGATCATAGATATTGAGCTGAAAAAAGGCCCCTGAAAGGTTCTTACTTTTCAAAAATAACTTTTTGCCTTGATAATGACAGTTTTAACTGAATTATATGGACACGTGATCTGTGCCACAGGGGCAGTACAGTACAGTGCAGTACAGTATTACTGACAGATCACTGATAGTGACCATCTCCCCACAGACTGATTGGCGTGGTGCACGGCAGCCTGGTAAACATCTGCAAAGCCCTGAAAGGCCTGGTAGTGATGTCAGCTGAACTGGAGAATGTCTTTAACAGCATGTTAGTGGGAATGGTGCCGGCCATGTGGGCTGCAAAGTCATACCCCTCCCTCAAACCGCTGGGCAGCTATGTCTCTGACTTCCTGGCCAGACTACAGTTTCTACAGGTAAGGGAAAAGTTGCCAGGATATTGTAACATTCCCTACAATTCTATCTGACTGGCAGGTAACACCAGTGAATCAGTATATCCATTCGGAATGTTGCAAAGGACCATAGGCAAATATACTAATTAACATTTGTTATGCAACACTGGCTAAGATAGTTCAGGTGTCTTATTAGTTAGCTGCCATTTTATTAATGCGGACGTTTCATTTTGTCTGTTTCGAAGGACTGGATAGACTACGGACCTCCCAGTGTCTTCTGGCTATCTGGATTTTACTTCACACAGTCCTTTCTCACAGGGGTGTCTCAGAACTTTGCTCGTAAATACAGCGTCCCAGTTGATTACGTTGGATTCGAGTTTGAGGTAAAGGCCACACATCACCTGTCTGTCTTCAGCTGTGACTCTTCTGCATACTGAGGCAGCAGCTTTCCAAAATATATATGTTGGCTTGAAACCCATAATGACCAATGTCAGCAACAGCTGCATGAATGCATGTTAATCCAGGCAATATGAGCATGAAACACATACTGTGCAGTGTCAATAATAATGTTCTTCAGTTATTTCATAATCAATCAAAGTAGTTACAGTGCTTGTGTCTGGTCAGGTGACTGAGCAGGAGACACACATGACGGAGAAGCCTGAGGATGGCGCTTACGTGACGGGCCTTTTCTTAGAGGGAGCACGCTGGGACCGAGACCACATGGTGATTGGAGAGTCCCTCCCCAAGATTCTCTTTGACCCCCTGCCCATAATCTGGCTAAAGCCAGGGAAGATGGCCACCTTTCTCCATGAGAACACCTACGTCTGCCCAGTTTACAAGACTAGTGCCCGCCGGGGAACACTCTCCACTACGGGCCATTCCACAAACTATGTCCTGTCCATGGAGCTGCCCTCCGACCGGCCATGGCAGCACTGGACCAACCGGGGCGTAGCATGTCTCTGCCAGCTCGATGACTAGCGCCTCCCTCCTGACACAGTGCAACTGTCACAACGGCCATCAATAACCCTGAAAGCATGTTACCCTGTTTAAGCACATGACCAGTACATTAGCACACGGGTATCATTTGTGCCAAACACACACACATCATTATAGTAGCGGTAGGATGGATGACCAAAATAAAGGCATACATTCGTGTTTTTAGACATTTAAGAGTAGAGCAGCCACACAAAATAAAGTGGAACATATTTTTGTTATCTTTCTGTTTTAAAGAACATCAAAATGAAGCACAATTAGTTGTCTGAGTAAAGGTACAGGGTTATCATTTTATCTTTAAAATATGAATATATGAGTCTCCTCCTGCGATGGGCTGGCCCCCCATCCAGGGTTGTTCCCTGCCTCGTGCCCATTGCTTCCGGGATAGTATCCGGACCCCCCATGACCCAGTAGGACGAGCGGGTTGGAAAATGGCTGGCTGGCTGAGTCTCTTTTTACAGGCTAATAATATTGCAAGCTGCCTTGCCTAGAGATGAATAGCATAGTGCATTTTATCCCTTTTCCTCTATCTAAATATTTCCTGAATAAGAGTCCCAATTTTACTCTTGAATACCACAGAGGCATCATTTGTATAAAAAATGTACACCGTTGTAAATGGCTTTCATTGATGTGATCAAATGATGGCAAATTATAACAAGCATACCAATATATGACACTTAAAATTGAGAATGAACAGAATATACAGTTCCTTAATCCATGTGCAGTTAAATTGGATGTAAGCATACACTTGTACTAGTGTGTACTAGTGCATTGTGAAGGAGACTGACGGGGCTAACATTCTGACTCAGCATCTGAACAGATCTGCCCCAACCCGCGCCATTTCACGTTTCATCATGTGATTTTAAATAAACAGGCTTGGCCTGCTTCCTCAGCCTCTCCTGGGTGCGAAGATGCCTCCCCCTCTGACTGGCAAGTCCCATTGGTGGAATGTGGATCTGAAAGGGAAAATTATCCAATGAAAATGAAAAAATGAAAAAAGCTAATGGGTTCTCTGCCATCATAAAGTGTTTTAAGACGACATCAAAAGATACATCAAGATCAGAATACCACAGAATATTGGCCTCTTCAACCAAGTAGTGAAGCAGCAGCACCCCCCTCCCCAAACAAGAATTATTTGCCTATTTGATTTAGAACAGGATCATCAGAGACTTGTTTGTAGACTAATTATATAGTGCTGTGAGTAGGGATCAGATTACTTACAGGCCTTGGATATGGATTCCGGTAGTGAAGACCTGTGAAATGCCAAAGTGTGTTTTCATTTATTAATTTGTGTTATGCGTCACCTATAACTGATGTCACATTCCCACATATTAACCAGTTTAGCCGTCATGAATTTATTCTAGCTATTAACAAAATGAAAAATATCAAAATGTTAAAGTCCATTATATATCACAACTAAAGATAACATTTCCAGATAAATCAGAATAAGAGCAGAGTAAAATAGAATTCCACCCCCCCTCATGCCATCCCCAACCCTCATTCAATAATATAACTCATAGGCCCCATTTATCAGAAACATATTTGCAAAAATACTTCCTTTTCTTGTCCTAATTACGAATAATAATGGGTTGTTTGTGAAATATCAGAGACTGAGGACAGAATTGACTCAGCTCACTTTAATATTGCAAATTATAATAAATGCATTTACAAAAAATGTGTACATGCTTGACTGTGTTTAGTTCTGATAGACTGGTGTTGACAGTAAACTGACACAAAACGCAGTTAACTGAATTTGGTGCGTCTGATTTCTCTCTTTATATGCATGTCACTATTTCATAGTCACAAGTGGGAATGCACAAAATCCATGCAATGTCGAGTATTATATATGAAATATACCTTGCCTTATGCTGTGTACTATGAGAGACACTTTAGACTGAGAATCTGTTGCTTAAAATGAATAGGAAACAGTCATCAGCAAACTCCCTGTGCATCACTGTGAAGTTAACATCAACATTCCTCTAACTAAAAAGCATTGTACATACATTACTTATAAAAGTTAAAATATGCCAATTTCCCACCAGGAATCAATGGAATACCATCTCATCTCTTTCACACTATCTGTACAGATGCCACAAGTTGTTATTTGTAAGCAAATTATATTTGTGTCCCACCTAGTGTGCCCTATGCTGCCAGGGCACTGGCTCCAGACCTTCCCATCTCAGGTCTGTTCAGGGCAAGTGGTTGGCAAATTGATGGATTTCCAAATACGGTTCTCAGGTACATATCAGAATAACTATATATCAAAGCATTGCAACAAGATGTTTCAGTCCAACTCACCAATTTCAATCCTAGCTTGACATTCTTCTATGCATTTCCTGATGGATTCAGCATCAGTTAGCTGCAAACAGATTTATGCTTAATGAAACCAACTTATTTTGGTTACTCTATCTCATGAAAACCCACAGGGGAACACTCAGTACCTGTTTATTTTTCCGGAAGAGTGTCCTGGACTCCTGGACAATGTAGTTTTTCTCGATTTCCGTGTCATGTGGACGCGTACAGTGGGTCTGCCAGCTCCGAGCAATTCGCAGTATCCTCCTATACAGTGACAGAACCTCTTGCCGTGTGGCAAGCGTCATTGTGGGCCATTAAAAAAATCTAATAATTAAAACAAATAAAAAAATAAAGATGAGATGTTTTCAGTTATACACTCGCATTGTCGTCACTTCTTAACCACACAATAAATATAAAAACAGAAACGTAAATAAGTGAAAGTGGGCACATTTTAATTCTAAAGCATTAACACACCGTACAGATTGAACTACATATTATAATCAGAACCACTAGGTGGCAATGTATAGCTTTTTAACTTATAAGACCAATCATTATCTGTACAGCTGCATGTCATAGAATAAAAGAAAGCATGTAAAACACATTGCAGAAAACAGAAACAAATATTTATTCGTTTAAAGTAAGCAGTTTTGGAAAATTAGTAATATATTCTGGTTACTGTTCGATGGCAAATGATGTAGTCTGGTATAACAAGAAACATGAGTAACTTGGATTGGATAGCTAGTTGATATGACTAAAGCACTTCTGGGGTAACGAATACTCATCCACTTACTACAGTCGTGTAAAGTTAATAGGACCAATAATTGATATATTCTAATACAGAACATAAATAAGAAACAATCCCTCCGGCTCGCAATTTTATAGGATATTTAGGGACAACCAGTAGTTAATAAAATAAGGACACAGAATAGAGAAAACAACACGAAGGAGCACAGCACCGGAGACAGTTTAAATGTCTAAAATACCTCGTTCGCTTCTCGAACACCTCGCTGGCTACACCCTCTCAGCAGCGTTTGTCGCTTTCTTATGACGATTGACACGTTTGCCGTGACGTAATACGCAGGCCGTGGGAGCTGCGGCGACGCTGATGCCCTGCAGGAAGTGATGCGGGGAAAATTCTCATTATTATCCACTCCGTAGAGACGGAGAAAAGGGGAAGGAAGGGGTAAGCGCAGAGAAAACAGGCATTTATAGTCAGGTATCCGCAGTTTACACATGAGGATCCGCGAGAGTGGCACACGCGTAACACAGCCGAAGTAAAGGACGTCGGAAACGAGGTGATTTCGATGAGGAAGCTGCTCCGTGTTGCCTAACCCCGAGTGAGCCTGAGCCTCGGGAGCGATGAGTGTCAGTTTCACGGTATTCACCACGGTCTAGAAGGTAAGTTCGCTGTTACCGGGGCCGTGCACCTTCTGTTGGATTACTTACGAGCTTTGACACTTTCTGTCGCTGTAGTTTGAACTTCACAGAACTGTCTGCGGAGGAGAATGTGGTGCGATCGGCGGGGCGAAGGTGCGGATGGGTACCCCCAGCTTGCCAAATAGCTTCTCATAACTACGGACGCGTTACTGTATTCAGGCAGGCGGCCCCTTTCGTAACTTTCGACACATGAACCACTTTTAAGAAGCTCGCTGAGTACTTGGTAAAATGTCCTCACTCTTTTTTATCATATATACAAATGAATAAGATGACCATCAGCAGCTGCTTACTGTGACCCTGCTACATCCAAATGTCTTTGTTACCCACTCGGCTAAGTGAATTAACCTCCCGACTCCTGGCTAAACAATGATCTCCGCGTTGTTTTATTACCGAACAGGAAAGCTCTGGCTGCATGCGAGAGAAAAACGACAGACGTCGGCCAGCTAGTTCGGGTTAGTGAACGTAGCTGCCTAGCCGGCTAGCTAATTCAGCTGAGATGCTTCCCAGTCGCCATTCTGACACACTGAAATATTATTAATTGTTCTTTTGGCTGTCGGTGCGGGTTGCCCGGCGACGTCGTGTGACTCGGTGGGTGTGTTGTGGTTTTGTCACGTTTTGCTGACCGATCGACTGCAAAAGTGCGTGGACTCGGGGTGGGATCGGACTGAGACGCCGTATGTATCCGTACGAGATCTGACGTGGTAACTGATTTTTTTTTCTCGAGACCAAGTCAGGAAGCCATCTCGACTGTGATGCAGCATCAGAGGAGTGTCTCATCAGTTATCATGGGGTCCACGCCGATTCGGAGCGGCCAGGCTCTCGTACCTCATGGTCTGAGAGTGCTGCCTGGGCATGCCCGCTGCGTGTGTGCGCGCTCCTTGCATTCACTTTTTCGAATGTAATTCATCTGATCCCAATTTGGACCCGTGTTACGCTCAGCTAGCACAGCATCCAGCTATTAGACTGTAGGCCCAATTTCACAGACAATGACTTTATTTTATGAATTACTTGCCGTTCAGGCTGTGAACCATTCTATCCTGCATAAGCATGCTCAGGTTTTGCTCTTTGGCTTTTTTCCCCTTTTTGCATAAATTTCATGTTGATGCTTTTCAGAGTTAAGCATATCCGGATTTAGGGATGCAAACTTTACCTGCTTGTTTGCACGTTTGTCAGCTTTTTAGTAGAGAAACTTTTCCCTCATTTTACCCCCATTACAGCAAAGTCCGAGGTTTTTTATTAATGTTTACGTTGTAACCACATAACTGTGATATTTGTAGAGTGGTTAGAAATAAAACAGGATTGCGGTTTTTGAGGCAGGTACAATGCTTAGCATTTGTAAAGTGGAAATTATCAGTATTAACTCGTTCACTGAATTAGCATGTTTATGATGAATTATATAGCGTTGCAACAAGTAATTCTGTCCCTATGGGTGCAGCCTATGTAATGTGATGCAGGGTTAATTCATACGTGCAGGGCTAGTCACGTGGCCAACCTCCAGGAGGTTTTGTATTGCAGCAACGCACAAGCGCGTACGCGCGCGCACGCTGACCATCCCGGAGCTGCTGACATGGCTGTAGGGAAATCTTTCTGTGCCAAAGGCCGCTGCCTCGCCGCGCTCCCCCGGGGCGGCCGCTGTAATTAAGCCGCCTCCCGAGGTGACGTCCCAGCGGAGCATCCTGCTGCCTAAAATCCGTGTCAGGCGGTGACCTTTTAGCGCTCTGGCGGACGCCGTTATGGCGACCCGCTTGTTGTCCTCTTTTGGTTACAGTGTTTCTGCGTTAACGTAACTGGTTATTCCAAAACAGCCAGTTCTAAATGAAGTAACGTTTAAACGCAAGATCTTTCAGACTTGCTGAAGCTGCAGTTTTGAGATCTAGGTTTACAGATATTAGAGCTCTCTTCTGTGGTCTGATCTCTGAAACAGCTGACACTTCAGTATTATTTGCGATCGATTTGCTGTAAGCCTGAACAAACTTAAACGTGCAGCTAGATGTACGTATTCTAAACGTTTTGATTTTGGTTCACGTTATGTGTTCATTCGCGGGCCTTTCAATGGCAGCTTTTGGAATGCAGAGTTATTATGAATCGTGTATGGTTTGTAACAGTGGTGGGCAGGAAGCTTGTGTAGACGGCAGCCTGGCAGTAATGACACTGCGGACAGGCGCACGAAATCAGCTGCATGTGTGTGTGGTGGGGGGGATACAGAGATGTTTGCGCAACTTTGACAGGCTTCTGAAAGGTATTAACTGTCATACTGAGAGAGACTTGGATCGATTCAGCTCCCTCGCCGCTGATCTGGAGGCAAGAGGACACAGTGCTTGGCATTGGCAGAATGTCCATTTTGGAGCAGCAGATCTGCAGAGTGATGTGCATGGTTTTTATGCTTGAGCCAAAACAATCCACATACAGGTTAGTGTTGAAATCAGAAGAAAACCCCAAATAGTATGTTGAGCTTGGAGGTGTGAGATGCGATATATGGACTCCTGGTTTGGCTGTGGGGACACACAGAGCAGACCTGTCTTTGAAAAGGGGCAGGGTCAATTTATTTGGGGCCTCAACTGAGGCTGACATTGACCAAGCAGTGAAAATGATCGTGTCTTATTGGTCACTGTAATACAGATGCCACTGTAATGAAGAATAACTCTCCAATCGCTGACAGTTTCCCTTGTGCCTCTCACGGGCTTCCTAGCAAGACATTCTCTGGTTAAGTCTCTGTAATCCAGCGCTGAAGCAACATCCAAATGGTAACATGGCCACCTGGGTTATGTTAACCTAGACTATGGGATCACATGTCCCAGGCAGGATTTAGGTTAGTGGATTTCTAGTGAGGAAAACTGACATATTCAGATGAAATGTGGCTGCATTCAATCAGTGGGGGAAAAAATTATTAAAATATTGTTATTTAGCCGATCATTATCTAGGCAAGTTTCTCTTTTGGGCGTGGCAGCCTAGAGGGTGGTGCCCAGTGCAGCCACACTAGTTACATCACCCTAACAACAGGTCTGACATAGAGTATCAGGAGCCTTTGGCTGTCCAGTTCCATGCCTGCGTGTTAAGCTCTTAATCAAAACAGTCATTGGATTTTATTATTATTTTTTTAATTCTAAACTTGGGTTCTTTAACCATCTGTGTATCCATGTCCATTATCCAGTCAGTTTATCTGCTAAAGCAATCATTATTTAACCACTAGAAAACAAATTGGTACAGGCTGAACTGGATGACACTGGCAACACAAAGCTGGACCCTAAGTGTTGTGCTGAGAGCCTGGGAGGTCGATAGGTTAGGGTGCCATTTGATGGAAAACCAGTTGCCATGTTTTAGTTGTGGGTTGGTGGAATCTCCTGCTTTGAGCTTTTTGTCTTCTGTAGTGCTGAGATCTGGGCTGCTTATACCACCTAATTTGCATGTTATTCTGCAGGGGTAAATAATGATTGTTACTCTTAGTTTATGTGTTTCCTGTTTCGTAAATGAAAGGTTTTAGAAAACACTAAATTTTTCTTCTAAACAATGACTAGCTATCTGGGCTTATGCTGCCAATTAAATATAAATAAGACATTTGAAATGTAACTAATATTAACCACCCATATTCCATAACTGCTTATGCAGCACAAAGGCTCAGCAAGCCTGGAACCTGTCCCAGAATGCACTGGGCACAAGGCAGGAGGACACCCTGGACAGGATATCAGTTTGTCACAAGGCAAACACTCGCTCGCACAATATGGGCGATTTAAAGACACCGGTTTGCTTATCTGTGTGTTTTTTGAACTCTGGGAGGAAACCAGAGTACCCAGAGGAAACATTCAGTACCCAGGGAGAGCAGACACTGTCTGAGCAGGGCTACGATTCAAGGGCCCAGCCCTGCATGTTAAATTTCACCAATTCATACTGAAAAGTTAAACTGTCTGGGGGTAACTTTACACCTCCTGTGAGCTCAGTGCCTCTTTATGGAACACTTCATGCTACTTGGTATGCCCAGTGTTCTCAGTGCTGGTTACATTCTCGCTAATAAAATCATGCCTTGTGTAGTTACAATCTCACATAGCCATATTTCATCTGAATTTGACTGCATCTATCCGGAGTCATGACCCATGGCGAGAAGATTTCTCCTTCAGTGATCAGTGTATGAAAAACACAGGCTGTTCTGTGGCTGAATGAACAACTTGCTATAGCGTTTTTTTCCCTTTTTATAATGTCGAAGATTTACTATAATGATGTGTTTAAGGCACCAGCTGTTGGTTCTCTGAAGCGTGTGAGTCTGTCGCTGTGGCCCCAGACGCTGCTGGAGAGCCTGGGATCTGCAGCCGGGGCTCATCGCTGCTTCTCCACTCGCCGGGTATGTTTCCCTGGCTGTCGGTGAGGGACTTTCGGGTTGATGTGCCTTTTGGCTTTCTGATGAATTGTGAGAGTGTGGTTTGCTTTTGGAGTCAGAAAATGATCTCCATCTTGATTTTTTTTTTTTTTTTTTAAAAATTAAAACACCAATTTGTTTTTTGGGGGGGGGGGGGGGGGGGTTCTTGTTAGATATGCGGTTGTGGATAACATTACGCCATCAGGCAGCAGAGTTTAAGCACGTCTGCACTTACCTTGTGCTTGTTCTGTTGTGGTCCAGCATTGATTGTTCCCAGCAGTGCTACCACCAATATCCATAACACTGTTCTAAGAATTTTTTAAGGCAAAAATTGTGCATGTTTTGCGTTCTCTAGTGAACCATATTGCTCAGATTTTTTTCTCCCGAGTAGATGTCCATCAAGCAGACGTTTGCCTGTTATACCTCTAAAAGACATCTCTGGGTTTGACCTCTTGGTTCCTGTAGACCATCTCGCCTTGAAGGGCTGGGCGGGGTTCAGCTCTGTGTCCCTGCTACTCAGTGGGGCTGCCGGTCTGGCAGCAGGGATTGGGTTGAACAGTGTCGGGTGGGATTATCAGATTAAGGTTGGGGTTGTCAGCCAGGCTGGCTCCGG